TATTTCCTTCCTAAATATTTGGTTCATTTTTTTTAAAAGTGTCTGTTCTTTCTAAAAATCGTACTCTCTCTTTTTTATAAAACCCTATCAGTACGAACCTTTTCTCTTCCGACTCACGCCTTCTCGGAGCGTTCTCCTTCTCCATCTTCCTCCTCTCAAAGATCAAAACTTTCTGCTCCAAACACTCCTCGCTCGATCATCCATGGCTTCCAAAAGACGATCATCGAGAATTCAGAACAGAGTTTCACAGTACTCAGGACCACCAGAGTTCATGGAAATCACTGATTCAGAGACAGAATCTGAGAGGCAGACCTCTTCAAACGACACTCCTCCAGCATCCTCTCAAAGAACTTATGGTAAAACAGATTTCTTTTTTAAAGATCTGAAACACGTTTGGAAAACTTACCAAAGATTGAAAAGAGGTAATGCTTCCGAATCTGTTTTATTTGCCTGTTTAAAGGATAATGGTTTTAGGTCAGAATTGCAGCTTGTGGAAAAATATTCCTCTCTTCAGAATGTATCTACTTCTGAACAAAAGAAAAGTTCTTTTGAAAAGGGGAAAGCAAAAATTGGTGAATCTTCTTAAAAGATCACTTCTATCTCAAGCTCTAAGTTTCCAAGCCGATATTCTTGTTTTTCGAGAATAAGGGAAGACGATGACGCTAGGATTGTTCATCATTTTGAAAAGAAATTGGGGATTGCTTATGGAGTGAAAGGGAAAGGCAATCTTTTCAGGAATCGACAGCATAATGATTTTTATAAAACGTTGCTGTCAAGAGGAATAATGAACCATCGAAGCGTTGATTTCGATTTTCTGGAAAAGATTGGAATTTTTGTCAAACATTATTTTGACAGGTTGGGATTGACTGAATTCTGTCGTCAGTCTGCGCATATGTATGCAGAGGTGACTGCATATTTCTTCTCTAACTTGTCCATTTTGTCTCCTGATTGCATCCAATTCTCTGTTGGCGATAAGAACTATAAACTATCTGCTGCTCAATTGGGTGATATCATTGGGGTTCCGCATCGTCAGTTTCTTCCTCTAGAGGTCAGTGAAGAAGAAGCCTCTAAAGCTGCCTCAGAAAACCCAAATTTTTCCAGAGGTTCAAAAAGGATGATTACTTATCAAGATTTGACAAAGAAAACAGTGATCTTACATATGATCATTATCAATTGTCTTCGGCCCAAAGCATCGTCAAAGACTGATTTATCCAAATTTGAGGTCAAACTTATTTGGGCAATTCTGTATGCAGTCTCATTTTCTCTTCCACACACAATTATTCTTCATATGTACAGAACTATGCTAAAGGACAAAGGTCAGCTTCCCTATGGTGCATTAATATCCAGGATATTTGTTTATTTGCACATTTCTGTCCCTGATGAATTGTGCAAGACATTTGTCCCTCTAATGTTTGTTGGAGAAAAGATGTTGGCCAAAATGAACTTCCAGCAATAGGCTACCAAAGAAAATAAAGAGACACCAGGACAAAGACCAAGAAAATCACTTGGAGATCATTCTGAAGCATCATCTCCTCAAGGAAGACCAGCAAGAAAGAAAGAAGAAAGTAGCAGAGGCAAAGAGAAAGTCAAGGAAGACTTCATTCCAACCAGATTTGTTCAAGTGTACAGAAAACGTCGAAAACTTCTCCTTATAGATGAAGAAGATGACTCAGACAATCTTGACCTAGGACAAAATGCTTGCCAGGACTATGTTCAGAGACAACTAGCTTCTTCAGAACCTGATGTTCATATTTCAGAACCAACAACCGAAGACTCTAATCTGCTTCAGATAGTTCCATACATTGCTCCACCGCAGACAAATGTAAGTCAATCTTCTCTTGATTCTGAAGAACATGCTTCTGCAGATCATGCACCTTTTCAAGGGGAGATTCCATCAGAAGCGGAAACTGAGTTCGATCAGACTGAACAAGCCAATGTCCAGGAACAGCCCTTGGAAAATCAGACCATTCTCACTCTTCTGCTCGAAATTAAAGACAAGCAAGCTGCACTTGAACAAGATGTGAAGAATCTACAGCAAATTGTTGAGGAAAACAACAAGACTCAACATCTTCAAGCAGCAAAAGACAAAGCAGAACTTGAGGAAGCTATTGCTCTGTGCTCAACCAACATGAACAAAGCTATGGGTGAATGTTCTTCGAAGATTGAGGAAGCTGTCTCTATATTGGAAAATTTTCAACTCATTCGAACCCCTTCCAAGAAATAGCCTGCTTTTTAACATTTTTTTTCTCAAAACCCATCTTTTTCTCACTTGGTCTTTAAATATTTTAACAATTCTTCATGTCAGACTGTTTGGTTAATTAATATCAATGCTTTATTCTATCTATTATCATTTTTGCTGATAACAAAAAGGGGGAGAAATTATATGCAGATTATGCAGATTTGCCATACTAACATAAATATGCAGATCATATGTAGGTTATACACAAAGGAAGAAAAAGACACAGATCTCAAAAGAGTTTGCTCTTTCAATTTCAATCTGTGCTTCATGCGCTTAATATGCTTATTTATTTCAAATTAATTTCAAATTGATTCAATCTGCAAGGAAGTTTTGTCACCATCAAAAAGGGGGAGATTGTTGAGGAAAACTCCTATTGATTTTGAAGTTGACAAAACCTTCCATGTTATTGTAAATCTGATACTTATTCTGAACTATTTTATTCCAGGTATGTATATATATTCTGGAAGTTCAGAAGGAAGTTTTTCAGACTTTACAAGCTGGCAAAATAAAAAGTCCATATCTTATTGAAGACCCACATAATCTTAGTTCTGAGACGCAGACGCAGAAGTTATTCAGATGCAAATGCAGACGCAGAATTTCTTCAGACGCAGAACTCAGAACGAAACATAACAGCTAGTGATCTGGCATGGATTTCACAGAAGGAAAGTTTTGATTGTCTCAATCTCAAACAAATTGATTGACAATCAAACACTACGACAAGTATGCATTATAAACGGATAAAGCTCTACTTATGCAAACCAAGATTCTGATTGTATGGGCGACCAGAATCAGCGGGATTCAGAATCTGTCATCCAATGGCTACTCAATCCTTTTTATACAAATCTGTCCAAGGTAAAGATTGGAAGGTGATCCTCTGAAAGCTGTCCAACGGCTAGTTTGGAAGTGGAGGAGTATTTAAGGAGATCAACGAGCAGCAGAAGAAAATACAGAATCAAGAATCAACAAGTCCAAAGTCTGAGCATACTCCGATCATTTTCTCTTGTCTTTCTGAGCCAAACATTAAGATCTTGAGGGACACTTTGTAAGAGTGATTGTGTGAGATAGAGAGTCCTATCATACATAAGAGTGCTGTCACTCAGAAGTTGTAATTCCTCTTGATTACATAGTGAAATCCAGCCGGTAGGCTGTCAGCGTGGGAGAGTGGACGTAGGCTTGCTATAAGCCGAACCACTATAAACTTGTGTGCAGTTTTTCTATCCCTTATCTCTTACTTTACACACTGCACATCAAGAGCACTGTCTATATAAACTGTTTTGAATCTGAATTTTATTCAGACTCAACTGTGATCTTTCATTTCCGCATAAATTGTTTAAGATCACCTATTCACCCCCCCTCTAGGTGATCTTTGCTAGCTACATCAACCTTCATCTCCGGTCATGTGATTTGAAGCTCCAGTATCAGTGAACCATTCTGAATTTTGACTATCTCTAACAGTAAGCACAGCAAATGCCTTTGGCACATCCGATGGAAGGAAAGATTGACTAAATCAATTAAAGCAATCTAAAGCAACATGTCCCTGCTTGTTACATATTTGACAAGAAACGACTTTGTCTGATCCTTTCACAAGCTTCTCGATCTTGCTTTGATTAAATTGTGGCTTGTGACCCTGCGATTGCACAAAATTAGCCCGAGAATTTTTCATTCTTGGACCATTGTGAGAAAACCCTCTTCCATGTGAAGAAAAATAATTGTTGGAATGTTGGAATTGTTTGCCCTTCTTGATGCTCTTAAAATTATTTCTTTGACCAAAGAAAGCCGTCCCGTGTTGAATTACAAGGGAACCTTTATTTGTGAGCCGACTCTCAAAACTTTGCAGTTGCGAAACCAGGTCAGAGAATATCGGCATTGGAGGCTTCAACATGGAGGTTGTGAATGAATCATATTGATCACCTAAGCCATTCAAAACAAAGAGACCCTTCTTTTTGTCCTCGAAGGGACATCCGATAGCAGATAACTCATTAAAATATTTTTGAAAAGCACCAAGATACTTGTGAAGAGATGAGAAATTATCTCTATGACATTTTTGAATTTGTAGAAAAATTGAAACTTCACGTTCCTCAGATACCTTGGCAAAAATATTTTGTAAAGCTAACCACACCTCAGCAGATGTCTTCAAGTCTACTACTTGAGCAAGAACTTCTTCGGAGAGCGTCGCAATGATCCATCCTCGCAGAAGACGATCTGACCTTCTCCATTGTAAAAAATCTGGATTTGCCACTTCCTCTGAGACTCTAGCTTCTTTTCCAGAATTAGAGGGGGTGGCTATTGTTGGACTCGGCATCTGGTACTCGCCATCAATGAATCCTGCCAGATCTTGAATTTCAATTAGTGCAAGCATCTGGGCTCTCCAATAAGAATAGTTTGTTTGTGTCAGTTTCAGTGACACAAAATTGCTAATGTTCAAAGATGAGGGGTATGGATACTTAGGATTGGTGGAAGCCATGGTTAATGATCGATTTCTTTTGAAGATATGCTCTGATACCATAAAAGAACAAAGAGGTTTGATTCTTAATCTCAACGTACCATTGTTGAGATGATTTTCATTATATATAGGTATTACAAATGTTACACTTCGTAAGGAAACAATACAACAATGGAAAATAATAAATGAAAAAATTATTATATTACAAGAGTTGTCGATCACTTGATTCTAGCATATCCATAAATCATCTCGTGATTTTGATTGATATCTCTAGAATCTCCAGATTTTTCTTCCTTAATTGATAAATCAGTGCCTTTAATTTCCTGCACCAACTCCTCTACTAAGAGCTTTCTTAGACATTTGAATCATCTCCAAGCACTCCTCTCTGGCTGCAGCTGCTGTCTCTTCATGACACCTCTTCCGATGCCGAAATACAGGCACAAACACTCCTGAGGAGGAGAATATAATGCAAAAGCAGGGCAACTTTTATTACTTGCAAATTTGGTTAATGTGCCATATAAAGCAACTGAATACCAGAGAAGCTAGTCAAACCTGCATTGGTGGCAGAAATCTGCCCTCTGACTGATGCGTTCGCCATATCAGGATATTGTTGTACTTCAGACAAAGCCTTCGAATTATTCCCATCTATTGGTGCAGGTGGAATCTCGATAGCAACATAGGGTTTACGGCAGCTGGGACTGCGGTAATGAAGTCGCTTGTTTATGTAGCAGATTAAGTACTCAAACTTCATTCGGCAAGCACTGCACTGTGTCCAAGATGACATCTTGATAGGACGAGGAGGGGCTGGAGCACAATTGGCATCGGCTGCACTCTTACCACCCCTAGTGTTGAAATCGTTATTGCATTCCATCTCTCAGGGGTTTAGTTGATCCTTGCTCTAAATACCGCCGAATCTTCTTTTCTCATGTATACCTCCTTTGTACAGTCAAAATAACTTAATATCAAAACAATACAGTTGGCCAAAAATCTAGATACACAACCCACTATGTTACATGGACTGTCAAGAGGATAAATCCGCCTTAGACCAACAGAAAACCGGTAGAAATATACCACAGAAAAACCCCAAATTTATGCCAAACTATATGTCTAATATCACAAGAATGATTCCAAACATTTGTAATAATTCTAACGTGCCAGATTATGCTCCTTTAACGCACTTACATACACATAGAGTAACATGTAAGTTGCCGAACAAAATACAACCGAATGATGTCCAAATGACCAAATGTGATATGACCAAACATGCCAGATTATGCTCCTTTAACGCACTTACATACACATAGAGTAACATGTAAGTTGCCAAACAAAATACAACCGAATGATGTCCAAATGACCAAACGTGATATGATCAAGTGATGTAAATCCACGTATACACACCACGAACTCCTATAAAAAGCAAAATGGACAGGATAAAGCATGGCCACAGTTATTAACGAATTATAGTTACATCTGCATACTGTCCTCATAGACGAGAAAATGATGTAGACCCACTCATACAAGCGACAAATTTCCACAAGAATTACGTTAAGGATAAAGTATGATCCATTGTTTTTTTATGAATTATGATTCCATCCGCATATATCCACATAAACGATCAAATGATACATCCTTATAATCAAGCGAGAAACTTCCACAATAAGCATAACAGTTTGGATCTGCCCATTTTAATGAATTATGATTCCATTACATCCACATAAATGATCAAATAAAAGGGAATTATAATTCTATCAGCACAATCCATATGAACGAGCAACGAACTTCCATCATAAGCATGATCATTGAGATAAAACACAATCCATAATCAAACAGTTCGCAGTTCCATATCATCTATACACGTCCACATAAAAGAGCAACAGACTTGCAAAAATATTCATAACAATTGGGCTAAAACACAATCAACCATTAAAAAGGTTTAGAATTTCCATCAACATAACTTCCCATCCTAAAAAGTTACGCAACAGAAAGCTTGCAACAATGACCAAATTGACTGGTTTCTTGCCACGATAGCAAATTGAACAAAACGGGTCACATTGCCACAAGTTACCTCATGAACTATGATTGCCTACAAGGGCATCAAGGAACTCTGCTTTAATGGGTAGGAATTCAGATATAGCAAAATTATATCTCCTAACCAAGACCGTGACAAAATAAGAAGATAGACTCACAAACAAGCTGTAATGGGATGATAGTTGAAAAGCCATAATAATGCCCTGGAAATCCCAAAGCATTCTTGTACTCATGGCAGATGACGCCACAATAATCTAGAAATTTAGAAGAGAAACTATAGGAAGATTATTTTTCACATTAAAAAATTTTGCATCATTTCAACTAACAAACAAAATTAAAGACTCCTATTTCAAAGATTGAATTTTTACCTGCTCTTGGACTTGGGAGGCAACACTAGATTTTTCTTTTTTCTCTATCAATTTCTGTGATTACTTCGATCTGCCAACCAGTTGCAATCTCCCATGGAATGGTTATCTCTGAAAGTGCGTTGCTTGTCTCGTGGATCCGGAAAGACAAAAGCAATGTATGATGAAGCTGTATTTAAATATTTTTCTTTTACAATTAACAGGATAGATACCGTACCCCTGGTTATTTGTCAACCATGATTAACATTGACAAAATAGGCAGATTAATTAGTACAGATTTTTTCAGGCCATCATTTAAAGTCTTGGCTAAAAAAGCGAAAAACCCTCTTTAATGATCTTCTCCCTTTGTTTACCCTACTCATTTTCCTATTCAAGAGGGTCCAATTACATCAGATGAGTGGCTTATGTGTTTTTTGAAAGGGTCCCAAAAAAAAACCATTTTTTGGTCAACCAAAAGCCAAATATAAATGACATGAGATACTATTTGCATGTATGGCATGATAAGTACTAAAGACAGTGCAATTTTCCTATTGTAGCCAATAACTTGTTTCTCGAGAAAACAACCAAAAAAAAAAAAAAGTGAACTGGGTAAGTTTCTTTAGCCCTTGGATTGAGATTGCATTAGTTAAGACGGTCAAAATCAGGATTTGGGTGAAATGGGAAGCTCAATAAATGCAATGCTTATGCTTTTCTCATATTTATGAAAATCTCTCTTTCAAAAACCTATTCATTTAAGCCAGACTGTGGCATGATTTCGTAAACGCAATGTAATTTATAATCACATGGATACTATAATTACTTATACTCACACAGCGAAGGATAAGATTTTTATGGAAAAATTACAAAAAAAAAGTCCAAAACTAATTGGACGAATACCAATTTAATCCTAAATATTTTAATTTGGCTAATTTAAATATAAACATTTTGATAATTTAATAATATAGTCCTTTTAGCCAATTTTTGCCGAAAATCGCTAACATGATTGCCAGCCGTCCTACATGACACGGTCAACGCTAACGTGTACCAATTTTTAACTTTTTTTGAATTTTTTTATATTTTTATAAAAAATTTCTTTTCTTTTCTTTTCTTTTCCCTTCTTCCGTCTATTTTCTGGCCTCCGCGGTGCCTGACGACTAGCCATAGGCGAGGACTGGCAAGGGTCGGCCTCACTAGCTTCTGGCAAGGTTTGGCGAGATCGCCCCTCGCCAACCCTCGCTTGTGGTTGGTCGCTGGCCATCATCAAGACTCGATGACCGAAGGAGGAAGAATGGGAAAAAAGAAAAAAGAAAAAAATAATAATAAAACATAAGAAAATTGCAAAAATTATCCACGTAAGTGCGAACCATGCCACATAGGACAAACGATGTCTACGTCGGCGAATTTCGGCCCAAATTGGCTAACATTGTCATAAGATTTAGGATTAAATTGACTAAATGAAAAAGTTTAGAACTGAATTTGAATCCTTACAATGGGTTAAGAACTTTTTGATAATTTTCCCGAGTTTTATATTAGGCAGCGGCTTAGAACCATTCCAGGCCAAGTATACAAGATGACGATATGCAAGACTATGTCTCTTGCTTATGTTTTGCAGGCGTTATAAGATGAGAAAAATGCACATCCATCCATCGCGACAAGACTTGCTTTTGGGACTCAAAACTATGAGATAACCCTCAATTGCAGATGAGCAATTGCCCAGTTATTAGGCAGCAGAGTTCCATTGTTTCATACAATTATTTTTTCGTGCTAATAAATTTCAATAACTAACTGTAAATATCAAAAAACTATTGGCAGATATAATGCCAAGTGACTTCTTTTGGATAACGTTGGTAAATTACTAACCCTTTTACACAATTACCAGCTCTTTTGATAATTTGTAAAATTGGCGATTATTGTACGTACTAACTTACCAACTTTTATTTGTATAACTTACCAATGCTTTGAAGTAATTTACTCTTATATGAAATTACCAACTTAAATAAAAGTAATTATCAACTTTTGTCAAATTAAAATACCAATTAGTTTTGGATCACATACTTTCATTTGAGTCACTTATTAAAATTTAATTGTTTTTCTATATTTAATATCATCAGCAAAAATATTCCTCTATTAAAGGGAAATTGACACAAACAGTCCCTGAACTTTGGCTCAATATGCAATGTTGTCTCTGAACTTTTAATTTATTCAAAGTAGTCCCTGAACTTTAACCCAATGTGCAATGTGATCTCTGAACTTTTAATTTGTTCAATGTGGTCCCTGAACTTTTAGTACATGTTTAATTTAGTCCCTGAACTATATGAACATGTTCAATATAGTTCTTCCATTAATTCAAGTTCAGAGACTACATTGAATATTTTCATATAATTCAGGGACTAAATTGAACATGTACTAAAAGTCCAGAGACCACATTAAACAAATTAAAAGTTGAGGGACTGAATTGAACATTAGGCTAAAGTTCAGAGACTATATTGAACAAATTAAAAGTTCCGAGACTAAATTGCACATTGGGTCAAAGTTCAAAGACTGTTTGAGTCATTATCCCTCTATTAAACTTAGCTAAGTATCTACTGGTGGGAAAGCATAAAATAATACTTTAACTTATACTTATTGCTCTCAAAAGATTCTATAAGATAAGGTACGTAACAGAAATCTCAGCCCAAAATGAGCCAAAAGCCTCAACGCACTGGGGCTATAAAATGTATTTAGAACGGCGTGCTTTGTTGCAGTCCCCCACAATGCTTCTGCCCATCAATGTATAACGGGAACTCTTCACAAACATGAGTGAGATTGGACAAGAATTGAAGAAACTAAACTGCAAAACTTTCCATAATGTCGGGCACAGATGTTCTTGGTCCAGTATCCAACAACTCAGTTCAAGACCATTAGTCAATGTGAAGTCCTAACAATATGCCAAAGGTGAGAGAGTACACATGTTACCAGAGCAGGAGAGTCGTCGTTCTGAAGAGATGCAAAGCATAGATCTTGAAGTCTTCCGATTAAGAGCGGCTTGCTTATCTGCATAGAAGTTGCATATACCGATGGCAATGACACCAGAGAATATTAGAGAACCAGAAGGACTTGCTAAAGTGAGGAAATCACGCAAAGCATCGAAACTGTTCAAGCTAAATATCTCTGACACAAAAGCTGGCACTATTGCCCAGTGGGCACCATATCCACAGTTCCTATTAAAACAGTTGGAACATAAATCTTGCCGGGCAAACAAATAACATGGTAAAAGAGTCCAATTGCCATAACAACCGGACTACAGCCATAGCCACTGGCCTTAAGAGGGAGAATTTTCTGGTAAATGGAACAAAAACAGGTAACTAGAGTTCAGGGTATGAAGAGCACAATGGGAAACTAGCTTTAAGTGACTGATAAAACAGAGATTTTGAAAGCACCTTATGGTTCTCAGCTAAGTAGCGCCCCCTGACTCAACCGATGAAGATCCAGATGTTTATCATAGAAACAAAATACTAGTCACTGAACCCCAATGATTCACAAATCTTACCAAGATTATTAGTCACACCAGAACCAGAGGCCACTACTAGTAACAAATACATAAAAGCCAAAAAACAGCCTCTATGAGCGCCTGTCGTAAGGTGAAATCCTCTCCTCCACATGGGCCCTTCTTCCGTTTTACTCTTGATGCTGCCCCTGCAGTTTCCAGGAAACGTTTTGCCTGCATCACAATTCGTTTTTGCCTCTGTGATGCCAGCAGCTGGTCCACTTCTCAGGTTTCTCATCTTCGACCTAACTAAGAACGACCTCATTTCCTTCTTGCTCAGATTTACTCGGTTTTTGTTCTCTTGGCCTAAGAGAAGTGCTGCTGAAGGAATTGGCTCGGAGAAGAAAACCAGCTAAGCAGAATCTTAATGATAAGAATCACCAGAAATAATGTGATCACAGTTTGACTAATATCAACTAGATCCTCCACCAGCAAGATTCCCAATATATAAGCTGCCAGGAGGAGGCAAATGATATAGGTAAATGAGAAGCATGAACCATCGGGTCTACGAACCATCAGGTCTAACTTGTTATGATTATAACCCTCTGCAGGTGAAATGATGAACATCGGGGCATGGACCAGAATAGGGCCCAACAGCAACTGTAAAAATTAGGGATGCTTCGCCGGGGGTGTCGATCATCAAAAATATCTGAGACAAAATCAGGCCGCTCGACCCAGCAAAATTTTTTAGTGTCCCTACAAGAGGATCTCTATCTTTGGGAAGTTCTGCATGAATATAACAAGAGCCGCTGGATCGAAGTAGGCCTCAACATCTATCCCACAAATACACACAGGCAGATCTGCAAAACAAGACTTGGTTCTTTGACACATAACAGCATATGAAGTAACTTCAGATCTTAAATTAACACATTCTTACTTATTTTTATCTAGTTTTTATGAAAATCAGACAGTAAACCTTCCAATAAAGAAGAAACAACATGCCCTTCTAATTGGAAGCAAAGGCTTCCTTCTCCAGCAAGAATAGGTGAATAAGCTGCACCCTCACCTGATAGTATCAACAGTTGTGCGTTGCAAAACATTGGCAGAAACAAGCACGGCCTAGGATCTCACAGTTAAACAGTCCGTAAAACAGCTACAGCGAAAAGATATGTGCTTTAAGGCAGATAAGCAGGCTAAGTTTATGAACTAATGTGCTACGCATCTTATCTTACAACATACTGAAATGGAGTAAGAAAATGGTAAATTAACGGGCAAAGCGCATCAATGTACTGTAGAATTAAAAGCCTGGACAAAACAAGTCTTGCAGTGCCATGATGCTTGCCAAAAGAGTTCAAGAATTTACCAGCTTAAAGAACTTGATGCAGGAGATAATTTAAAAAAGATTTGACTTACATCCTGGAGGTTGATTTTAGCTAATGGAAACTGCAGGAACTAACAAGCGGAAACAATTTATACTGAGGCTATGTGACAAATTAGCCAATACATATATTATTGTTCCGATGTGAGGCGTTCTGTCTTTCCAGTGAATGCTTTCAATGGAATCACAACAGGCGGAAAGTTGTCTGTGAAATTTATCAAATTTGAGTGACCTTCATCAATTGTGCATTTTAACTATGGTCGAACATATTAAGCTTAATGAAATGCCGACACGATCACATTATAAGAAGGACTTACCATTAACTTTAATAGTAGAAATCCATCTCATTCAACACACCAAAAGTACCTTTTATTAGTGCATAAAGTCAGCACTTTCCATGAATTAGTACGTTAGTCTGTCCTTGAGAATTTGGATCAGCAACAACACAACAAGTAGAACCAGAGATGGTGGAAAGAATACATTAATGAATGGTGCAAAAGTAGGCTTGACCGATCAGCAAGATCCACAGTATATAAGCTGCCAGGAGGAGGAAGGGAAAATGTCATATATATAATGAATATCTATACATCGGAATCTTATAGTTCAGCGACATGAATACAAAAAAAAGGTTAAGAAGTAAAGGTTAAGCCAGTTTATACAGATTTGGCCAACTTTGTTATCCTTGTTCCTCTAAGAAAGCATTCACAAGGGAAATCAGATATCTTCACAAGAAAAGCAACTAATGAGCTAATCCTAGTAAAGAAATCAAACTATCCTCAAAGTTACTATAAAGCGGAAAATTTGTCTTCTGAAGATCTCTGACCTTGAACAAAATCGTGAATTTCCTTCAACCAATAGTTACCAGCCGAATTTGCGGAATAACTACTAACTACCGATATCAAATGGCTATCTGAACAATGCTGAATAAGATAGTAGAAACAGAACACTCCTTAGAGGATTAGTTCAGATTGTTGTCGTCTCAGTGCTTCCCCTTCTCCTCCTCCATCTCCTCGACTCCAAAACTACATGTCAATCTGTCCAATCTAACCAGCTGAAATGGTCCAAAAGCATGCAAAAAGATGACTAAATGCGTCATGACCGCTTCCCTCTTAGTCTGCGCTCGTACACCAGCATCACTTCTTCCTTGGCTTTCATCCCCTTCACCATAACATTGGCCATATTGTCGTCCGCTTTGGCATCCATTCCTGTGCCATCAGTTGTTACCACTTGAAGAAGTTCCAAAGGTGTGGATGCAGGATCAAGCTCCCAGCATCCTTTAGGAGCATTTGCACCTTCTTGACCTGTAAGCAAGTGAGCAGGGACCTGATGAGAGAATCGGAACATTTCCTCCCCTGGAATCGTCCATAATTTCCTAGGATCTGGATGCTTCTGAAACACAGTCTTGAAGCCACAAACTTTGATGAGTGGAGCAACAGTAACACCAAGCTCATCGCTATAATCTTCAATCACTTCAACCATATCATAGCTGTGTATTATCTCATCTGGAGTTAACTCGTTCCAATCAGAAGACCAGTTCCTATATAGAGCCCAAACATCTCCCTTCAAGGGATAAATCTGAATTAATCCCCTTGGGCCTTTCGTCCACTTCATCCTATGCGAGAAAGCATTAAGGGAGTCATCGACAACAGATTTCCCTATTTGCAGATACCCACAGGTCTTGGCAAAGCCAGATCCAACCCAACGCATAGGGCCAAGTTCTTGGTTACTTTTGGAACTAAGCCAACTTATGCGCATCTTGAATGGTTTCAATGATATGACAGTGTTGATCAAAGCGTAGTAACGGGGCATCCCATCGTCGTCATCATAAGCAGCCCAGACTTGATTATCAGCAAATGAATCCTCTGTCCGATCGTTGTCAAAATTATAAAAATCTGGGTCTGTAACGAGCATTTGCGTAGGGACAAAGTTTTCCGCTTCAGATGCTTCAGATACGACATTGGAAATAGCATGGGAAGAATTTGTCATCTGAACTCTGTCCTTACCATCCACAGGCTCACTATGCTTAATGGGAGCGATCTTAGCACCACTTGCAGGAGCCTTCTGCACTTTCCCGTACTTCTCCTTGACCTCCTCTTGCAATGAATTTCGTCCATCTGAAGGTTCTTTGTCAACTCTCCACTCATCAAGCTTCTTACAAATATCTTTTTTGGCTTTATGTATCAGCATATTTCGCGATTCTAGCAGAGTAAGATCCCTCGAGCTGTTAAACCGATTAATTGAACTGAAACTAAACCTCCCCCGATCCAGCGGTCCCTTTTGATGTCCAGACGTAGTTCCTGTTACGACTCCTCTACTACTTGCAAATGCTGCTTGCCTTGCACCCTCTGAGAATTTCTTATTCATGCCGCCTTCATCAACTTCCCCTTTTTCCATCCAATCAGTTCCTAGAGAACTGACATCAGCCGACAAGCTCACTGAACCACTTCGAGCCTTCTTAGACATTTGAATCATCTCCCCGTACTTCTCTTGGACCGCAGCTGCTGCCTCTCCACGGCCTCTCTTCCGGTGCCGAAATAGAGGCTCAAACAAACCTGAAGCTTGAGGAGCATATGATGCAGGTGCAGGGGCACTTCTATCACTTGCGAATTTGGGTAATGTGCCAAAGGAAGAAGCAAACTTTGGCGGCAACTGAGTACCATGGAAACTTGTTGAACCTGCATTGGGGCAAGAAGTCTGCCCCCTGACCGATGCATTCCCGTGATTTCTAATTCTATAAGGATACTGTTGTTGTGCTTCAAAGAAAGCCCGTGAATCAGATGACCTATGTCCATCTACCGGTGGAGGTGGAATCTCGACGGCCACGAAGGGTTTACGGCAGCCGGGACTGGGGCAGAGAATTTGCTGATTTAGGTAGCGGATCAGGTATTCGTACTTCATCCGGCAAGCACTGCACTGCGTCCAAAAGGACTTCCGAGGAGAGGCCGAAGCATAATTAGCGTCGGCAGCACTCTTCCAGTCCCTGGCGCTGTAATCCCGATGGGGATAAGCCGAAGCGTGAACCCCGTGAGCAGCACTGCCGCTCCAATCCCTACCATTCGCATTCTGATAAGGAGAAGTCGAAGCGCTCCTCCAATCCCCCGCCTTGCAATTCTGCTGCGTACCTGGAAAACCGCGGACTCCATTCTGACGGCCCGGCGTCGGGAATGCCCCGTTGCAAGCCCTCGAATTGCGCTTCAGGTCGTACGCGAACCTCTTCGCCTTATCGGACAGCAAGCTCCAGGCCTCGGAGAGGATCTTGAAAGCGCCATCGGCGCCCACCGCCTTGTTCTTGTCGGGATGGAGGAGCAGCGCGAGCCTCCGGTAGCTCCGCCGGATCGCGTCGTCGCCGGCGGAGGGATCGACGCCGAGGACCCCGTACCAGTCCGCCTCGCCGGCGATCGTCCTCTGGGCGGCGACGTAGACGTCGAGGGTGGCCGCCAGCTGGGAGAGGCCGTCGAGGCCGGCGTAGAGGCTCCGGGCCTTGGCGGCGAACCTGCGGGCGCCGTCGACGTCGGACGCCGCCAGCTTCTGCTCGGCGATCTCCTTCGCCCGGAGAGCTTCCTCCTTGTTGCATTCCATCTCTCATCTCAGAGGGGGGGAGGTTAGCCCTATCAACATCGCTGGTTCTTCCCTTCCTTTATGCGACCCTTAAATATTAAAATATATATATAACCAATTTATTAGCTAATGCAAAACTGTTAATTAATAATAGTAATAATAATAATAATAATAATTAAAAACAAGAGTAATATTGTTCATAGTGCAGCAGGCTCATTTCTTGGAACATACAATCCTTGAGAATACTCAAAACATCATTGAATTCACTCCACAGGCATTGATATATACATACAATGTCTGTTGTTTCATCCTTATGAGATTATCTCGCCCGTTATTATGATTCACTGAGCACGTCGTGACCATGTTCCTCTCGATGTCCGGCCTTAAATGCACCGGTGCATGTTCGTCTAACTACCTATTACCATCGTTCGGATAGGCAAGCTGATGATTGACGTGATCAAATCGCCTCCCCCGGTTCTTGCCGTGAGAAGACGCGCGTGAGGGACCGGACACGAGACTATGACGTGACAGCTCAGTTGCAGATGAGCAACTGCCCGTGCAGATATAAAGATGGATGGTGCCTCTTCATAATCATCATGGAACCTGCACAAGCGAATGGTACGACTTATGTCCACCAGGATCTTGCTGATCATTATGTATAGGCGCCAGATAGCATTGTTGATTGAATACCAATTGGGTCGAGTTGTTTAGAGGAGAATGTATGTGTTTGCAGGTCTAATCGGATGTCTCTTCTCATTAATAACTCGAACATAATATATGTGGACTCCTTTTTAGCAGTTTAGCAACAGAGGAGACATTTGAAGTCCGGGAGCATGAAAAGATCAGATTCTTCGAGTGAGTGCTAATGCTGTCATCAGTGCAAGCTCTAGCCGGACAACAACTGATAGAGATTCGATGTCGTAGATGATTTTGCTTGCGTTGAGCACTTGAACTGTCATCTGAAGTTTTCGACACTACAAGGAGATCCAAAATCCGATTTCTGATACATACCGCAAGTATTGTTAATTGAAGCATAAGCTTCATGAGATGCAACGGGTCGCCTACCCAAGTTCCATCCTAAGATATTTGTGGAAACACTTGTTCCATAAATTTCTCAAAAGTAAATTGTAGCTTGAAGCAGCAACTTTGTTTGATAGGAAGTAAGCAGTTATGAGATCAATCACAGCCCCAAAAAGCCGAGACCTGGCATATTCAGTGAAACATTTGAAGTTTCTGCAGACTCATCTGCCTCTAACATCTACTGATTAGACAAAAGCAATGAAAAGACAAGGATCAGAAATTAAAGGAGAGTTTAACAAGGTATTTATTTCCCAAGAAGAATCAGAGGAGCCTGTTCCAGATAAAAGGGCAGAAAATAATGCTTCAACTTCTAGTCCATGAACTAATTGAAGTTTCTTATTGATCTCAAAAGAAAATCATATAACAAACTACACCGAGAAAATCTCAGCCCAATGTGAGCCTAAGGCCTCAGAAGTGCAGGAGCTGAAAAAAAATGAACTTAGAACAGCACGGTTTGTGGCAGAACCCTAAATCCGTAACGATGGATATGCACTTGAACTGTCAACTCGAGCCTTCTTCTGTCCATCAACGAAGAACGAGAACTCTCCACAAACATAAGCGAGAGCGGCCAAGAATCGGACAAACTCAACTGCCAGAATTTCCATAAAGTTGGGCATAGACACTCCTTGTCCGGTAAACAACGACTAAGCTCAAGACCATTGCAACAATGCAAAGTCCTGACAAGATGCCAAACGTGAGAGAGTAACATATGTTACCGGAGCAGGAAAGTGAGTCATCGTCCTGAAGAGAAATCGGAAGCATAGATCCCAGAGTCAGCTTCCTAAGAGCAGCTTGTTTATCTGCATAGTAGTCGTATATACCGCTGGCAATGACACCAGAGAAAATTAGAGAACCAGCAGGACTTGCCAAAGCAAGAAAATTATACAAAGCACCGAAACTCTTCAAACCGAACAGCTCTGACGCAGAAGCTGGCACTATTGCCCACTGGGCACCATATCCGAGTCCTGTTAGCACGGTTAAAACGTAAATCTCTCCAGCAAAACCCATAGCATAGTAAAAGAGTCCAATTGCCATAACAACCTGGAATATAGCCATAGCCACTGGTCTTGGGAGGGAGAATTTTCTGGTAAATGGAGCAAAACGAGTAAGTAGTGTACGGGACAATAATGAGAACACTGAAAGGAAAACTAGCTTAAATAACAGATAAAACAGACCTTACAGCGATCTCAGATAAGTAGCCCCCACCGACCCGACCAAGGAAGTTCCAGATGCTTATCATAGAAACAAATATACTGGAGTCATTATACCCAATTGATTCGCAAATCTGACCAAGGTTATCAATAACAGTCACGCCAGAACCAGCGGACAGTACAAGTGACAAAAAGATAAGCCAAAAGTCAGCCTTTTTGAGTGCCTGTAGTAAGGTGAAATCCTCTCCTCTGCGTGGGCCTTTCTTCCGTTTTACCCGCACAGCTCCTTCTGCAGCTGCCTGGAAAAGTTTTGCCTGCAATTGAGCAATTCGTTTTTGCCTTTCTGATGCCGGCAGCAGGTCTACTTCCTCAGGTTTCTCATCTTCAACCTCACTAAGAATGACCTCAGTTCCATCTTGCTCAGATTTACTGGGTTCTGGTTTCTCTTGCCCTGCGAGAAGGCTCTCCTCTGATGAAGGAATTCGCTCAGAGAAGAAAACCAACAAAACAGGTATAGTAACAGGTAGGAGGATCACAATGATAAGAATCACCACAAATAAGGTGATTACAGTTTGACTGATATCAACTAGATCCTCGACCAGCAAGATCCCCAATATATAAGCTGCCAGGAGGAGGCAAATACTATAGATGAATGAAAAGCTTAAACCATCAGAAGCTCTGATTTGTTTATGACCTCCCACGGGCCTAACTATGAACATCAGGGCAATGACAACTATTGATGGCCCAACTGCAATCATAAAAATTAGTGACGCTTCACTGGATGCATTAATCATCAAATATATCTGAGACAAAATTGCGCCACTCAACCCAGCAAATCCCTTTAGTATCCCCACAACAGGACCTCTACTTTTGGGGAAGTTCTGAACACATGAAACGAGAGCTCCTGTATTGAAGTAGGTCTCGCCATTTGTTCCCACAAATACACAGACGCATAGCTGCAAAATAAGACTTGGTCAATGACATTTAGAAAGGCATATGAACATAACTTCAAAGATCTCGAATTACTCAGTTCGTGGGCGATGTTTTTACTTATTTTTAACTTATATGAGAATAAGACAGTCAACCTGACAATAATAGTGAAGAAACGACAGTGTCTTCCAAATGGAATCACAGATGTCCTTTTACTGCGAGAAATATATAAATAGTTACGTCCATGATCAATCCACGCTCGACCACCAGTATGAATATTTATGCCTCGCAAAACATGTACAGAGAATATTGTAAACAGAAAGCGAGACAGCCTAGATCTCACAGACAATTGTTCCTAGAAAAAGCTAAAACTAAAAGATTTGCAGTTTAAGGCAGAGACATGGATTAAGTTTCTGAACTAATCATCGTTGGTGATGCTAGGAATCTTCACTCACAACATACTGAAATAGAGTTCAGAAATTGGTTACTGAAGGGGGGATGGAGGGCATAGTTATACTATAGGATCAGAAGCCCAGACAAAAGAAAAAGGTCCTTCACTGATATGATGCATGCAGATGTATCATCCAGACACTTGAACTAGCACAATGCAGCTGCAAATTTCAGTGAGCTGCTTAAGCAGCTAGCCATCGTTAGCTTCTCATGGTACCAGCATTTTATCAACTACAGGAAATAGAAAAAATAAATCTTTTCTTCCTTGATGTAGTTCTAACAGTAGGACACTGTACGCAAGATGCATCTGTTTTCAATGACCATTTTCATCAGTCTTTCAGATTAAATTTGTCGAGCCATCATTACAGACATAGAATCTACCAACATGCCATCAACAACACATCATAGGAAACATCTACCATTTACTTAGAGTAGACGTCTCTTACAGTTGCAACATGCCTAAAAAACCTTTTATAAGTAGGAAAAGTAAAGCCTTTTTCCAAGGATTAGTCCAGTAAACAACTCTCGGGAACGTAGATCAATATTGCCAGGACAAGTTGAACCATGGATGGTGGAAGGAGTAAACTAATCCATGGTGCAAAGATAGCCTCAACCAATAAGCCAAGGGAGTTGGGCTTTAAACTTTCCAAAAAGTATACTTATAAAGAAACTTCAGCATTTTGATTCGATAGCAATCAGGCTTCTAAGTTTGCATCCGTCGTCTGCTATATAGCTTTCCAGATCATGTGTCCCAGGAAACTGAGCATCAAGACAGTGTGGAAAGCACAAAGATCTACCTTAAAGGATGCCAAATGCACTGACCGTCCATGATACAATCAACAGGGCGTCATTGCGGTCAATATGTCATTGAAACAATGCACCTCTATGCTGGATCTGAACTAAGCACAGTTCTAATGTCCTGAAGAGGAATGCCTTGGAGGATCACACTCTCAGTAGAGCACTCAACTACATAGTCCCGGAATTCATCTTAGTTTTAGCAGCCAAAAATCAATTTTAACGAAATAGCAAGTTACACCTCTAGGTCAGCAAGGAATTAAGCAACAGTATCTGGGATATGTGGCCATTCAAGAGAAGGAAAACCCAACAATTACAGGGGATTAGATCGCAAGGAACAAGAATTACAGCAAGCGAGAAATCAAAGTGATGAGCCAACACCACAAAGATAAGAAAGAGAAGTGAAAAGAAGATGAAAGGGGAGAGACTGACCACCCAGAGAGGCAAAGAAGGCAAGACACCAATGACAATGAGCCAGAGCAAGCCATACCCAAGGAAGTTCTGAACCACCCCAATGGCCAATAGCGCCCAAATCGGCAACACTTCACACAGACAACCAGCCACGAACCCAATCGCATCCCCCAAGTCCTTGGCCACCCCAAGAATGGCCACCTCTCGCTGGGTATACCCCATGGTGCTCTTGATCACCGGGGAGATGCTGCCGAACAAGTAGCCCACCCCGGCACACGACTGGATCCACATGGCGCACACGAACACCAGCCATCTGTTGCTGTAGAACTCGTTCAACTTGTCGTACACCCGCATCATCGACGCAGTCAGGGAGATCGAGATAAGTGGAGACGAGCGTGAGCATACGTAAATGAGATGAAGATAGACGATGGTGAGGAAGAGAGGAGAGGAGTGAGATGGAGTCAACGAGTAGTCACTTTCATGGAGACATTCCTGCCCTGGACGATGATGATGATGGTCTGTTTACCTCCACAGAGAAATCTCTTGGGGGGAACCGGTGAACTCGGCATGATTGAAACGAAGGAGATCTTTTCAGGCTAACCTGGCAGTAATTTATTACACGACCCACATGCACAAATGGCAAACTCCACGTTATTTTACATCATCCTGTCCAACCCAGACAGGAGCAACTGTGATCTGAGCGTCGGCCTTGTTTGATAACCTTTCACCACCCAAGCAGAAGAAGAGTTGCCCCAGCCTGCCTGTCTCCACTATAGTCTGAGAGACTCCACGAACCGCGTTTTACATCTGCCAAGACAAAGATAAATAATTGGCACGACCCCCTTCACACTTTCCCAGACCAACCCGCTTCTCAAAAGGAAAAATATAAAAAAATCATAGCTGCGCGTCGGGTACGTGGGCCCCATGAACGTATTGGCGGACGTTGTGAGCCTCATATGGAATCTGCACGATCTAACGACGGATACGAGTCGGCTCGGCTCACATTGTCCATTTTCCCAGATAACCCATCTGGCTGCTGCTCATCTTGACTTGGGCTTTGATTTAGATACAGGCACTCCGAGGAAATAGGGAATCAGATCAGATCAGACCGTATCAGCTCGTGCTGATACGTATCCATCCACGCACGTAAGTGAGCCGTTCTTCTTTGTCTTTGTTGCGCTTGTCGGGCATTTTTGACAGGACATGTCGTTTTCACGTGGGCTGCATATTTTGGGAGCAACGATGCCCACCTTTCTCAACCCCCATTCGTGAAGAAATTTCAACGCAGCTTATCATCTCGACGCCCATCCTCTTCTATTTAATCTCATATTAAATTCGTACCGCAGCATGCGGATTCATACGTGGATTTTCACGTTTAACTAGGTACGTGCATGCGTCCCCAGTCTAATGTGAAGAGAGTAAAAGAAATGTTTCAAGAGCTGTCCGGATTGATTTTCGCTTTTTATCTTTTATTTAATCTGAATCTTGCGACCAAAAGCCCGTGCCTTGTCTAGGTTTCGTCGAAGAAAGTGAGTCCACCACTCGAAAGCGAAGATGGACTAAAGGATCATCTCCCTTTGACACAAAGATTGCCAATGCTCTTCAAGAAGTCACCCAGGAATCAATTTTTTTTTTTAAATTTACTTAAATTTCTTGGGTACAAATTTGATTAAGAAATGCAACTAATTAATCTATGAAACTCTTGCAATCTCCTTCTATGATGACCCGAGCAGCAGCAGTTGTTTGCTTGGATTATCTTCAAAGGAAGGGGCAATTGCCTCCGTTTTGTGCATGTAGAGTGGATCCTTCCCAACTCATTTTCTTGGTCCCAGCCCAGATCGATCCTCCCTGTTCATCCCTCCCCGGCATATACCAAGTACAGACTCTCTCCTTGTTAACAAATGGGCATTGCAATCAAAGCTCTATAGATGTCCCGGCGGAGGTGGAGCCCGAAACTGTATCTTCGACGCGGTAGCACCGCCAGGCCTTGCTATGCCCTTTCTTTGACCGCATCAGAATTGCTCCTTAAAGAGTTGGTTCACCTCTCCAGAGACCTTCAATATGCAGGCACTACATTCTCTGTGGGCGCATTCATTCCTTACCTTGCAAAGACTCGAACACGTCACTGCTGCAAAGGCGTTGATTTCGACCCCGCTGACATGGTCTCCAAGCATATCAAAGGTCCGGTTGAGGAAAATGGTGACCATGTCTTCTATGTTCTCCATAGGCTAACTCTCTATACTGAGACTCCGAGGTCCACAGCTCCATAAAGCTTCGTGTTACAGGGCATTGGAAGAACAGGTGGAAGCGTGAGCCTACCATCTTTCATTCATCCATAATTCCAACATTGAATATGTTAGTTCACAATGCATTGGGAGTTAAAGATATGACAAAACAATTGTTTGCTTGCTAACACCCAGAGCAATCTGATATTCCCTTCTTCCATCGCATAGACACACGGAACTACCTGGTTATATTTAAGCCAATAGCTGAATCACTTGCTGGACTGTAATCTCTCTCTCTCTCTTTCTCTCTCCCCAACTGCCAACCCTAATTCAATCACTCAAGGAAGAGTGCATCTGCACAAATGCTACAGTCACAACTATGCATGCAGACAATGAGCTACAGGCACGCCGAAGTGAAAGTCCAGCTGAGGTGGAGGGGAAAGCCAGGATAGAACATATGGTGGGCTTGTTTGCAAATGGTTTCAGCCACAGTGATACAGACAACCAAGGAATAAGCCTAATTTTCCTGAAAGGGTGCAGCAAAGACAAGTCTCTAACTCAAAATTTAAGAAAGACCCTTAAACATTCACTCTGTCCCTCCCGTCTAGAATGTCGGAAAGTCCTGCTTTCTTAGATACTTCTTCCCTCCGCGCCAAAGAAATCAACGTAACATGGAATCATTTGTAACAAGTGGCAACTCTGAGATTTACAACATGAGGACTCAAAGACATGAACATGGAGTAGCATTTTTTTTTTTTTGGTAAGGTAACATGGAGTAGCATTAATCCTCAGAGTTTATCCAAACTGTTCCAACTTCATCAAGTTTAGCAAATGGTACCATCTCAGCTAAGTGCATTCACAGATGAGAGTAATTATGAACCACCCGAACCAAACTTTAGCCTCATTTCATCTTAAAGAAGCGATCAATTGAAAGCAACAAAAATTGCAGGGTGAAACGCTGCAAACACGGCAGTTCTTGTTCTAAATCAGACGGCCATGACCTGGCTTTTTAACTCAACAATCATTCCTAACTACAAACAAGTCTTCTATGCTTGTTAAATATACCATCTTAGTTGAGTAAAGGTCCTCAGGACAATGTAAGGAGAAAAGATAATTTGGTGGTATGCAAGAGGCAGATGCAATGCGGATAGTGAACAATGCAGAGAAGGCGACTTCTCCTTGAGGGAGAAAAAAAAATTCCACCTTTACAATCGTATAATTGAGCTCAGGATCTGCCCTGCCTTGGAAGCATAAATACAACAAAATTAAACATGAAAAACGATGTGCAGAGAGAGGCTTAAGTTGACTGGATATTGATTCCGCCCACAGAGTGGGACGTAAAAAGAATGGTTTGAACAAACAATCTCTTGGAATCTCCTAATCCATGGAATCAAAACTGGGAGCATACCATCCCAACTCGTCGGTGATTTTCTTCAATCTTTCTTCTTGCCCCTTTGAATCCCCAAAAGCGGTAGTGAAGGGATAGACATAGGTTACTTTAGCGGCCATACACCTGTAAGCAACCACATCTCCTTTTACCAGGAACTCCAGCACATCCCGGCCAAATCCTCCATCAACCTCAGCTTGCAAATATTGGCCTGTGTTAAGGAGAGGTCAATTCGTCAAAGGCGCAATGCTTTGGATGAAATGCAGAGATGAGATGAGAGGGCATTGAATTATGTGCCAAGTGGTAGCGTGTTTACTAAATGATACGTTAGAAGCATTGCTACAGGGCAGGTGAATGCAGGCAGAGTAGGGAGTACCATAAGGGGTATCTTGAATGACCAGAAACTTGGGATTTTTCTGAGTTTGGAGGATGGCTTCTTTTAATTTCTGCAAGAAAACAGCGAAGTAGGATAAAAAAAAGCTGAAATGCAACTATAGCAAGAGGAGTGAAAGTGAAAGGTAGAGGGGATAAGAAAGAGAAACCAGGAGGGGGTCGTCGGAGGAAGAGTCGGGGATCCTCCAGGGGAAGGCAAAAGAGGACGACTTGGGGTTGGAAGATATGCAGCCGGGATTGACAGAGGGGCAAGGCCTGATTTTCCTGCGAGAAAACACACAAGAAACAACAACAGACCCACTTTGAGCAGCGGCAGTGAGAAAACAGAGGAAAGGAGAGGAGGAGAAGAGGAGGCAGGCACTACTGGCAAACAAATTACCCATCATCTTGGAGGCCCAGAGGGAGGTCCTTGGACTGAGAGAAAGGGGTGGCGGGGAGGGAAGGTGAAGAAGGAAAGGGGGAGCTGAGGGAAGGGATGGCCAGGGATGGTGTGGGGGAGTTGAAGGTGAAGGTCAGGGACAGAGCTAATGGAACGAGCCCTGCAATGTGAAGGCGATTCTTCCGGGGCTTTGCCTTTGGTTCGCCGGAGGCTGAGGCGGAGGCGGAGGCAGAGGCGGAGGCAGAAGGGACAGGGCCGAGGATGATAATGGGAGGACGAGTCCCACTCCAGCAGCCGCAGCACCGCCACCCAATCATCTCACGTGGATTCTGGTGTGGTGCTGCGGATCCCGCTCATCTCTCCTTTTGTAACCTGCACACACGATCGACCTTTTAGCAAAGAAACATGTCAGCATAGATTTTGTAAGTTCGGAAGATGAATGAATGAATGGTCAGTAACGTCATACGTGTGCCCGTTGCCAACACATTCATCCCTAACTTTTTATTTTGTGATATCGAAAATCCTAAATTTTCACTCGAACGACACATTTGCATGATCGCTTGTATCACTTACGAAAATGAGTAAATACAAAAATAAAAATAGTTTTTACCGACTATTAGGAAAATATTATTACAATCATTAATTTCCTGCAAAATAAACGAATCAAGTGAAAATAAAATCACTTAGAAGGGTCCTCGCTCCTTGATCATATATACTTAGAATATTGGCATGACATTTAGGGCATTTTTGTTTAGTGGAAAATGAATAATTCGAAAAGATATTTCTTCAAAAATGATCACATGTGTCGCTTGCGAAAATGAATGAATGAAAAATATTTTCATAGTCCTCGAAAGTGTTTAGACATGAATTATTGTTTGATAACGAAAATATTTTTCATCTACTGATTTATTTCAAGTGATATCAAATGATATTTTTTAAAAATATAATTTTTAAATCATTCATTTTTTTTCACGAAAAAAACATAGCCTTAGCCTCTCTTATTTTTCATGTCAACCATTCAAATTTTAACCAAGAACCAATGTAGAAAAAAAAAAAAAGACCTACGTAATTGAGGTATATTATTAGATTGAATTGAGAATTTACTTGATTTCCATTTACCAAAAGAAGAATAAAAAAAGGGATATGTTCACTACAAGTCTTAAAACTTATCACAAAAAATGCAATTGAGTCTTAAGACCTACTAAAGGTGCAATCGAGTCCTAAAACTTGTCAAATTGACTCAATCGAGTTCTAAAGTTAACAACATCTAATTTTAAGGTGTTTTATTTTATTACTTTTCTTGAGACATGTGGCGTCCAACAAAAGCTAAGTCAGTATTTTTCGTTAGTAAATTAGATGTTATTAACTTTAGGACTCGATTGAACTAATTTGATAAGTTTTAGGACTCGATTGAATCAATTTAATAAGTTTTAGGACTTTTAGTGCACATATCTTAAAAAAAAACAAAAGAAAACAAAAGAAAAGCAGCAAACTTCGGCGTTGAGACCATTCGAATTCGAGCCTCTTCCGGGAGTCTGCTCTGCCGCCGTACCTCTTGCATTCCTTGCGCCAGTCGCTGACAACGGGTGGTTCCGTCCGGCGGCTACCGCTTCAGACGGTGGCCGGAACGCCTCCCTGAGATGGAGGAGAGAACCGGGAACCCGACGGCGGCGAGCCCGAAGTCCACGCAGGAGCTGGCCGTGGAAGGCCAGAAGCATCTCGAGGACACCATCGAATCCGCCTTCCACATTCTCTCCTCCATGAACGACGAGCTCTGCAACCCCTCCCTCTGGTCCGCCCCCGCCCCCTCCTCCGCCTCCGCCTCCGCCTCCAACGGGCCCCTCCTCCTCAACGGCGACTCCTCCTCCGATTCCTCTCACCACCTGGACTTCGCCGGCTCCGGCGGCGGCGGCGGCGCCCTCGACGAGGCTCGCCTCCGCTACAAGAGCTCCGTCGCTTCCCTCCGCACCATTCTCGCCGCCATCCCCACCTCTCACAAGGTTCCCTCGCCTTCTGTTCTCCCTTTTTCCTTTGTCCCCCTCTCTGCGCATCTTCTAGGGGACTAGTTCCCGGTGACATTGTTTGGATCGCGGACTTTTCCAAAGCATTTAGGGTTTGTCGAAAGTCGCCGACTTGTTCATCTGGAGAGGGATCGGTCTGCCGGGAGAAAGAAAGAAAAACCAACGAATGTGTATTGCCTTGTGTATTCACTCAATTTGATGACTGAATCTGTTAGACACTATCAGATAGGAACTTAAGGATCTAGATTTTGAGGAATGACCGCTTCAATTTCGCACTTTCGTGTCTTAGGATCATAGGATCAGGCCTTTGACCTCTGGATTGATGTCACTGGACCGTGCATCCTTGGTCGGACTGACCAGTTTATCTGCCAATGATCTCCTGTGCATTTTCCGAGACCAACTCGATTTCGTCTGTGCTTTCCTCTGCCGTTGCATTTCTATGGTGCATATTAGCAAAAGGGTGAGAAAAGAGTTGGTGCAGATGTAACAGTGAGAAATTGACTGATGGGTGTAGAAGATGGTTGCTGCTTCTTGGTTATGTTGTGGGGTGCTTGGGTTATTCCTATCACAATCTTAGGTTTAGACGATGATGTCTGGTGGACTCTGGAAGGATCAGCAGATCGCTCCAGTCTTTGTAGAAGCAGCATTTGAGTACTGTTCTTTATGTGTATATGCGGAAAATCATCCGAAATACTCGTGTAAAGAAAATGTTCACAATTTCAGTTGCTAGATATCTTAAAGAGTAAAATCAGGAAAAAGAAACTATCTAAGAAATTCAATCCTTTAAGAATGGTCATATTAACTTCAGAGAAGTTTGATTATATCGTATCGTATGTTCCTGAGGAAAGGAAGATCAGGTATTTTTGCCTTGCTAATCACTGGAGAGAGAGAGAGGGAGGGAGGGAGGGAGGGGTAAGATTTCTGCTGTATCGTTCAGCCAGCCAAAGCATTTTAGTTTTGTTTGACTCACCCATGTCTTCTACTTGCAGACTAAATCATTTGATCCTGGCACTTCTATAATGCTTGTTGACCAAGTCGAAATGGAGAGGTTAGAAGAACAAGCCTCGAATCTAAGAAAGGTATCTGGGAATTTACTTCTTTTTTCGTTTTCAAGTAGTTTCGAGATCATCCAATAATCACTCTATGATATAGCTAGTTTTTGCTTCGTTTAGAACTTGTTTTGGAGGTTATTTTCTGTGAGTCTTTCTAAGTTGCAGCTAGGGTATTGTTCCTTCTTTGACAGGTCACACTGTCAAATTGTCCTCTTTTTCTTCTTACACCTTAATGCAACGATGGCATTTTGGTCTTGTATGAGTCTATGCATTGTCAGTTTCAGAAATCTCCAGCTCTTTTCTCTATAGTTCTAACTAGCTCTTGTTTCCATAATGTAGGAGCTGGTTGAGAAGAACAAGCACCTGAAGCTTCTCATAGATCAGCTGCGGGAACTTATCGTCGATGTATCTACTTGGCAAAGTCCATGTTCGGTTTAATGCTGACTGAATCTGGGTAAACATGAGAGGAGTAAATGACCGCCTCAATAAGTTTCAACGTAAAAGTGTCCTGTGGAAGATGTTTCCCCTTTCAGATCATGTTCTCTTAGCGCAACAGTCTCTTCCCATCCGAAGGTTCAACCGCTCTTTGTATTACCATGTACAGCCGTCGAGGCTTTCTTGTTAGATGCTAGTAGTTGTGGGGATGCTGACTTTTATTAGTCTTGATATTTTATCTAAAGAATATGCTTCTTTGCCTAGAGAAAGACGCATTCAGATTTTTTTCGTTCTTTTGGCTGATCGAAGAAACTCAGGTTCTGTTGCCTTTCATATGATACGGCGGCTTTATCATTAAACATCATCATATGTTTGCTTTCTAAAACGCTGACAGAATGAAAAGTTCAGGTTTTGTAATTGGTCTAAGGTTCCTGTTCAGTCGTTTGATCCATTAAATGCAATAGCTGGCAGAGCAGTTGCCCTGCTCATCTGATACTAGTTAAACATTTCTCTTTAGTAGTGTCTTAGGAATTCACAGTTCTACACATGGACATTGACCATAACCAACAGAGACAACGTAACAAATGAATCAATTTCGAATCGAAGATCTCGTAGTGAGTGATGAGCGCATGTCAACAATAGCAGATCCATTGGCACCCATTCTGATAGCCTCTTTGCTTGCTCTAATGAACCTGGAAACAGCACCTTTCACGTAATCATGAGCTTCCTTCACACTCATGTCCTTGCTCTTCTCATCGCGGAAACTGGTTAGGAAATGGTCCCCATTGAGAACAGCAGCTAACTGGACAATCTCACTCTGAAACTCAGATAATCTACCGTTTTCTTTGGCTTCGGAGCTCCTCAGCGGTGTAACATTGGGTAATGTCTCTGCCATATATTTAAAGAAGCAGGCGTTCAGCCACCTCCACTCAGAACCAAGCAAGACTGATGCAAATTTGATTTTTTTTTTCCTTGGCCGATAAAACATTTGTGAGGTCCTTACTTCTTAGTTAGTTATGCTTCCTCTCCCACGTTAAAACAGATGCTCCAATGGAGCAATGCTTACGGTGAGTGAATGAGTTATCAGATTGTAGGACTAGCTAATAGTTGGTTTTGAATGTAAGATGAATACCTGGGCAATCGGTTCTGGGAGATTGTAATTCCCCGACAATATGCTCGAATGTCCCGGCCCATGCATCTCGGTGAGTTAAGAAATTGGAGGTGAGGTTGAACATTTTCTTTATGGTTGCAGGAATGGAGGAGTGCTCGTACTCTGAGTTCGGAACTGGTCCTGTGGGGGAACTTATCACTGCAAAACAAAGGCAGAACTGGGATCAGATAACCGCCTTTCTAGACATATCAATAGAACTTCATCTCACAGCCAGCTGCAACAGCTTCCTCAATTGAGTGATGAAGATAGTAGAAACACAATTCATTTCCAATCAATGTCAATAGGATCATGTGATGCTAGAAGTTTTATCAATTCTCAACTCCCCTTTACTTTCTCTCTGGAAAAGGATGAAGCATCACGCAAGAGAAAGAGAACTCACGTGTTCCTTTTTTAATCCAAGGAGAGACCATAATGGTTGGCACACGAACACCAAGTCGATCAAACTTGAAGAAAAAGGGGGCAGGGCCAATATTACCATCCGGGTTAGGAACGTCAACGTATGGAGTTCTGACATGGTCATAGAACCCACCATGCTCGTCATATGTGATGATCAAAAGGGTCTCATTCCATTGAGGACTTGCCCTCAATGTTTCATAAACCTCCTTCACGAGCTTCTGCCCATTAGCAACATCATGTGCCGGATGATCATCGTTGGCCGGCAGGCCCTTGAGATCAAAGTACCTCGGCTCAATCACAGTCAAGCTGGGCAATTTGCCATTTCTGGCGTCTCTCTTGAACTTAAAATCATACAGGTGAAAGTTGGAGATGTACTTCAATTTCCGCAAATTCCTGTAGAACAGAGTGCTGGGTATGTTCTGGAAGTAGATGCCAAAGTCCAAACCATTCTCATAAAGAGAATCAAAGATGGTCTTTTGCGGGTACCCTACAGCTAGTTGCCTCACAATGTGACTGGTTGATCCATGAGAAGTGGCAGAGTACACGAAGAGCCTATTGGGTTGCGTTGGTCCCGGAATCGAAGAGAACCACCTATCGAAGACTGCGAATTCCTTGACAAGAGCAGTATATATCGGGATTGATTCCGGGCTGAATCCTCTCATGACAATCTCGGAGAGGTTTTCTGACACAGACAGCGCCTGCTCCACGAAACCAGACATGGAAGGAATGTCCCCGGAGCCGAACACTTGTTCAGCCACATCCTCAAAGGAATGCCCCGGATCAAGATCCACGAATTCAGCATCGTCAGTGAAGCAAATTGTCTCGGGCTTTGAGTTGTTGGTGGAGACAGGATTGCACTCATCTCCCGTGACGCCATTTATCATGGGGTTGATGGCTTTCTTCATCCATCCGAGCATGTGGTCGAAAGACCGGTTCTCCAGCACCAAAACCACAATGGTCTTTATGGGTTGCTGCTGCTGTGAGGCTGAGGAGACGTGGGAGAGAGAGAGAAAGAGCCAGAAGAGGAAGGAAAATGGGGATGGCATTCTAGTTGGCTTTCCTTTCATCTGCAGCTGGGAGGAGGGAGCTTTGGGAAGATGGGTTTGTGGTGCTTTCCAGGAGGATTTGCTTGGGTGAGGGTTCTTATAGTGCGGTAGATTGAGAGAATCGAGTGAAGTGGCTATCTAAGTGTCTTGGGAAGAATGCTTATTAGGAATCATGGACTTGCAGCGTTGGCTAGCTGATTCTTCAGATAGTGAATCCGCAGAGAAGAGTAGGGTCAGTAGGGAGAGCACAGTGGCAGTGGCACTGTAGTGCGGCATGAGCTACAGTCACAGATTTAGAAGCATCCGGTTTGGTAAGCAATACAAAGGAGATATTTAGGCAAGAGCGTCAAAGTGGGGAGGTCAACTTCAATCCAATCACCTTTTATCTTTAAGCCGAGTGGTAGACTGGGAGGTCCAACTGTCAATGCCTACACCCTCAGAAGAATCATGCAATGGACAAGGATGAGAGGCTAGTACACATAAGCAATTCGAAGCACAAGCGAGAATGGGGAAAGATTTTGGAAGGAAGAAGCAGCCTCACTCTCCACCGGCTGGAATTTATATTATTTTTTCACCAGTTCCGAGAGAGAGGAGGACAACAAGCTTGGTGCTGGCAAGCAATGGGAAATCATCCTGTCAAATGCGGATGGAAGCATGTGAACCCAGAAGACGACAAAGAGTGGCCAGATCTTTGACGGCAACCCAAGCTTTTGCTTCCGGATCAACCCCCAACCCCCCTCCTCTCTTTCCCACTGCGGTTGCATGAATCGTTCTGGCAAGCCGGACATGGAGTCAGCTGCGTCACAGGATCGCTCGCTCGGTTTATTTCAAATGACAGAACTGTTGCAGAGGCAAATTTCATTTCTCGAAAAGCAAAACCAAGAAGCAACACGAATGTTGAATAATGTCGAAGGCATCATTAATGATGGTCGGGACGAGGACAGTGAGCCCCTTGAATTTGATGGCCACATCCACATGGGCCTGCCCACAAATTGGACGGTGGTCTCTGGTTTTTGTATTGGCAATTCTCACCGACAATCTCAGCTTCTGTGCGTCGCGGTTAAAGAGGTAGAACCATGCAGATTAAGCTGATTCACCGAGATTACTACTTTATACGTAAACAGATTCTGATCGGTGTGGAATGTTTTCTTGGATTGAACGTTCTCCTACAAGTTGCCACTACACGTCAAAAGCCTCTTGGTCTCCAAGGATGATTATGAATGCACAAAGATATGTGTGGAATTCGAGGGTGGGCCGATCGGAGGAATGGCTGGTCTGAGAGCGTAACGATGAAGCGGGCCAAGCCCAAGATCTCCCTTGGAAGGACGCAGAAGGTGCTTCGTGTCTCCGACAACGTGTCCCGCTCCCGAGAAAGTTCCTTATCCCCACACCCCAGTGTCTGTCACTGTCGATTTAAATTCAAGAAACGAAACCCCAGTGTTCGTGTAGCAGTCAATTCAAGTTCAAGAAAAAGTTGGAAGGAGGAGGAGGAGAAGGAAGCATGGCAGACTGGGGACCGGTGTTGATAGCGGTGGTGCTGTTCGTGCTGTTGACCCCGGGCTTGCTGTTCCAGATCCCCGGGAGGCACCGAGTCGTGGAGTTCGGCAACATGGAGACGAGCGGGGCCTCCATTCTCGTCCACGCCATCATCTACTTCGGCCTCATCACCATCTTCCTCATCGCCATCGGCGTCCACATCTACACGGGCTAAAGCTCTCTCCTGTGATCCTGTACATTGGAGTCAGGTGTCTGCTTGTATTCTCCTCGACTCTGCTCTCGTGATGCGCCTAAGCATTTGTATGTGCTCTTACGCGTTCTGAGCAATGTTATATTTTGGTTATGTATCGGAGTTGGATGTCGGGTTCTTCCGATTGCGAATTGCCAGTGATTTCGAGTAATTTCCATTCCAAGTAGTGATAAAGATGGGAGTGTTAAATGCCATTTGATGACATTTGCTAATGCTAGTCAAGTGGAGCATAAGAAAGTTGGCTGCGCCTGTCTTCACTGGTAACGGGTTAGACTAATGCTTGTTCTTACCCACCCAGATGACAAGATCCATGGTGGTGATCCTGTTACGTGTGAGCAGGTTCTCTACCTGCTGCTAAAATCATTGGTGGGTGTTGCGATAAGTCTCTCTAACCATTGGATTATAGCAAAAAGCAAAGAGTGCCAATATAAAAAACACTCCTTGATTGACTGTTGGTTAACACCTGTTCCATCGCCATTCATACCATTACATAATGCGCCAAACCAAAGTTCAGCACAAAATCCATGAATGCTGCATATAAACCCCTGGTCATGCTCTAGCATCTAAGGGTGGTCCCCGAAGGCGCTGGCGTGTATGACATTACAAGATAAACGGTGCTATATACATGGCAACAATGGTGGGTAGAGCTCCCTCCTCGGCTACCTTGGTCACCCGACCTCATTGAGCAACAGCCGATCTCCCCGCCACAAAATATTCCTGCCAATGGAGCTCCAGGAAAGTTCTCCACGAATGGCGAGCTATCGACATTGGGGCGACCAAAGAATGCTGCTCCACGTCCACAACAAGCAAACATTAACCCTCCAAAAACTTCAGCTTTATCCGCATTACCAGCGCTGCCCGCTGCCTGATAAGAGCTCTTGGAATTGCATCCCAGGTTCAAACTTCTTAGACTCGTGCTGACTTCATTGCATGAGGCGACTGCAGCAGCGGGATCCGCATAGTAAAACTGAAAGTAATCGCCAGTTTTAATGCTGGCCCCATTGACATATAGATATTCCTCATCCCCTCTGTCATAAACCCCAAAAGCGTCTCATGCTCAGGAAGTAAAACAGAAAACTAGAACGAATTTAGAAAAGTCCTATGTCAGAAAAATGTAGTCAGACAGATATCGTCAAGAAGAACCTTTAGGCTTTACTTCTTTTTAAAGTCGGCGGTCAGTTCATTCATAGAGAACAAAAGATAATTAAGGCCCTCTGTCGCTGTAAATCCAAATGGGTTGTAATCTAAATGACAAGAAATTATCAACTACGATCAGGTCATTGTTGAAAGAAAATATCAACCACTCATAATGGGGTCATCTGAATTACTCAAAAAGATTGAACTGCAGGTCGCTGTTAAAAGAGATCATCAGACCATTTGTTCTTTCCAATCAGGAACCCGTTGTACATTTTAATAGAGCCAACATCCAAAGAATTAGGCAATGGAGCTTCATGATTGCGATCTCAAAAGACATGCCAAAGAAGTGATACCCCAGGTGTTCCCTTTGGAATTCCAGATTCTCACAGGACAACAAAAACTTATGGTACACAGATCGAGATCGGGGCAAAAAAGAAGAACCAAGGCTCACCTGTGCACCAGATGAAATGACAAAGAGGTAATCAGCTTTGCCTTCTCTGCCCCAATGGCATGTTTTCTTCTTTTGGTAACTCTGATATAAAGTTCAGGGTACTCGACACGATTGTCCATCTGGGAAAGTGTAAATGAGAGGCAATGATAAACATTTAATAAGTCAGGCAGCATCCCTGCAAGCATAGTTCCATTGCCTAGCCACTCAAACTCTGCACATAGGGTGAGGTGAATTCCTATACGGAAAAAAGTGTGGCTAATTTACGGGGAAATTAAAGGTAACATAACTTTGAGCTCAACTATAAACTAAGCAAATCTTAATTCTCTGCCTGATTAAAGATTTGATGAGAATTTCATATGATCATCCTTCGTTGAAGCAATGTAGAAGAAAAGTCGAAGATGGTCAAGTGTTTAATTTTCTTTCTTTCTTTTACCTTCATTCAACTTCTTTTCTCCTTCTAGAGTATTTTCCATCTATGGGTTTTTCGTCAGTAAACATGCTGACACAGTGGCAAACGAGGGCAAACACAAGGCTGTATTACACTTAATTCACAACACGAGCAAAACTCAGAAACACATGATGGAAGCCACGATAACAAAACGATTCTCAATCTTTCCCACCGTCAGAATGATCTCCCGTACAATGTAGACTTCACTATCTTTACCTTTCCATGCTCCGGGATGTCCACGCAACCAAAAAGCTAGGCCAGCTCGTGAATTTCTCAACATTTCACCGCATCCGAAGGGAATGCAGTTGAAAGAAGAATAACCCCTATCTACATAATGCTAAATTTGCAACATGAGCAGAACTCACAAGTACACACTCGAACGTTCAAAAGGCCAAGGAAAACCTTTAAAGTAACGGATTCATCAAAGAGGCCAATTAATGTTCTATTTATATCTGGAAACTCTGTAGTTTAAACTGATAAACTAAAAAACACAGGTTCTTAAAGAGATGAACCATATCACCTGAATCCTAAGAATCTCAGAAATAAGGAAATAAAATATAAAATCACAATCTCGGTTCAGGGCGCGTGTCGGTTCCTTTAGACCTAGATAACAATCCATTTTACACCCAGTAAAGTATTAATCATTATATGGAGAAAAGGCAGAACAAAACTTACATTACCATTTACGATTTTGAAGATATGAAACAACCACAACCTTCCATGTACAACCATACCTCGTCATAGATTTCATTGAGAATGCTTTCCCCGTCAAGAACTTCTGTTTGTCCTTCTCTTCTAGCAGTTAACCAGGTAACATCATCACGGGTCCTAACAGAAACGGCCCTGTACCTTGGACCTACCACTGAAACTCCATCTGATAGCACCACATGAAATCTGATTTCACCAACAGCTGCTCATTCAAAACAAGGCATCAAAAAAGATCCAAATATTATGAAGACAAAGGCAACAAAAAGTAAATTGATGCCCACTATGACTGTGCAACATGCTGTCAATAAAAGAAAGATTAGCGCACCAGAAGACCATGGACATGCTGCATAAATGGACTATTTCTCATATGGCATATGCTATACAATCAGGACCACGTAAACCATCAAATAAGCAAGGTAATGTGTGTTGACTTTGAGAGGGAAGGATTCACATGGTAAGCAAGACAATGAGGAAGATCGAGCATATGAACCACACAAATCATAATGTTAGAAGGAAAGTGCAAATAGCAGAAAGAGATGGCTAACGTGTGAAACACTCCACCCGAGAAGTATGGTCGCAAGACCTAACTCAAAGGTATTGATGAGGTTTGAGTCGCAGAAGAAGTAAAGCACATAAGATTACTAGACAATTTCGAATATATAAAATATAAATAAGAATGGCTGCGCTGGACTCTCCATTCTACCAACAATTACTAGACGATTTTAAAGCACTAGAAGAAAAAAAGAGCTTTCATGAGAAATTAGTGAAAAACATAGAGAGGAGCATGCAAAATGTTCTTGCCTAAGTTTTCTTTCCCGCATATTATAGATCCACTGTGCGGATCAAACACAAACAGTCCAAGGAACTACGACAAGTTCCGAATATTACGCAAAAGAATTCCACTTAGAAATGATGCATTCAGCTCCTACCACATTGCTTGAGAGAGAATCAATTACTGCAAAACCCATATAATCTCATAATCATTTTTTCCCTTTACTCAACACAGCATAGTAATGATAACCACAGCAGATAATTACTTGTGCAACCAAAGCAAATGTCTACCGAAAGAACAACTATCTTAATTGTTACATCCTTCTCTGGAAGCCAAAGAGATATACAAAGGAGGAATGACTACCAGGAGAGCTATTCCTTTCTTTGGCAAATACAAGAGCAACGGCATCAGTGTAACATTCCTGACTCCCATGGACATTTCTCAAATCATTCACAGTTCTGTACAGACACGTGCCTCTCTCATCACCCACAATTGCAGTTTCCACAGGCATTGCACTATCTGCGATGCACAATCATTTAAAACATCTGATGAAGAAAAGTCCAATCAACCTTCATGAGCAGATGAGCCAAAGTAGCAATCAATATAACATGCATTTATACATTCAGGTAATACGATACCTTCAATTCCTACCAACTGTACAAAAAAAGCAGTTGGAGCATGACGAACAGCAACAACAGTTGAGAATAGATATACTACTGCCTCACAAAAGAGATGTAGTATACGGCAGACACTCATTAAAAACACAATGAATGAAATTGCAGACTGCTGAATGCATATGCTATATTTACTATTCTGTAAAAGAATTGGCATAAAGATTATAACTTTTGGAACTGCAAATAACCCTCGTTTGAGTTGTTTGAAGTTTTCTAAACAGAAGACTGACAGATAAGACTGTCTCCTGAGAGTTGGACAAAGGGAAAACCCTCTCTTTTAGGCTCAAATTCACTTCCTTCATCATTGTCTCCCAGCATTAAAAACTTTACTTCTGTCCTACCATATGAAAGGACTTGGACAAGAGTAAAATTAAGGACTTCCCCTTAATTTTCTATACAGCAAAAGGAGATAAGTCGGTTAGCTTAGGGTTCCCCAACAACACTTCTCCTTCTCAATATATATCGAGGTAAAGGCACATGGTATCATGAATCTAGAGTTTAACAATCGCCTCCTTCTCAAGAGATTTTCAAATGTGCAGTAAAATGCAATTATGACCTGGTTGATCATAAGAAAAACATCTCTTGTATACAAGTTGAAGTCATTTCTTTCGCAAGATAATGACAAGAATGAAAAAAGCCATGGAGAGATCCCTTGTAGAAAAGAAGACGAAGAATAAACTTACCTAGTTTCTCTACAGCATATTTGATATCAGCACTTTCATTCTACAACCAGTAAAACAGAGTCAAGCTATCTGAGAGGAAGAGCAGTTTTGATGAATAAACGTGCAAAGCGAAGGAATAAATGAAGTTGCAAACATACTCCGAACATGATCAGTCCAACTGGCGCTGCGCAACCAGAGATAGAAGTCGAATATTCTCTTATGTCCATGATGAACTTGTCAACCATTGCAGTTCCCTGACAGTGACAGAAACTTTCCTATGTCATTTCGCATATGAAATTCTAGATCATCAAAAAAAGGGTCTGAAGTACTATGAATTACAAGCCCCAGAAGTCCCGACAGTTTTTCAATTTTCACCAGTTGTGCTGCTATGTGAATCCGTGTACCAAAGGGGTCGAATTGGGTGACAAGTCCCATATACCAGACAAATCGGGGGTCGTGTTTCAAGTCCAGTTCTTTTTACCTCCGCCAGCCGCACGAGTGGGATGCAATCAACTTTGAGTCCAGGTACAAATCCCACGGTCAGGACAATGCCATGATTTCTGTTGATTTCAATTACCTCATCCTCACTATCATCTTCCCATTCGACCTGCAGTTCATCAGTTTTCAGAAAGAGAGCAAGAAGGGCGCAAAAGAAAAAGAACAAGAACAAGAAAGCCTTTGATTCCAAAAGGGAAAAGGGAATTTAAGACGATTCAAATAACCTCTTTGACTTCATTGGTAGCGGCATCTATTCCAATGATCCCAGCATCGCGAGACACAATCACAGGAGTTCGAGCCCCCAACTTGCGACCAATCTGGATCATCAAACAAAATTGATGAACCCAAAACAAGTGAAACGCTAAGCTCATTCGGAATCCACGAGCACGCATTCATACATACATATCGAAGAGCAACCGCCAAGCTAAAACCTTGGGCCGCGTGGACAATGGCAAAATGCGGGAAAATGGGCTGGGACAGGACCTTGTCGACAACTTCTTGCAAAGCAATCTGGTAGAAGGAGGAGGAAAAGGCAGTAAAAGAGCGACCTTTAACATCAAAAAGAAATAATCGAAGAAGAAGAGGAAGAAGAAGTGGGGAGTAGATATCGATGACGAGACGTACGGTAGCGGAAGGATTGAGGGAGAGGGCAGAGGCGAGCTTGGGGCGAGAGAGGACTTGGGAGCAGACTCGCCGCCACGACTTGCAGACGCACGCCGCCGACGCGAAGGAGACCGCCGGCAGCCTCCCCACGATGTTGGCCACGAGGTCCTCGCTCATCGACGCCATGCCGCTGCGCTCTCTCCTGCTCCCCATCCTCCTCTCCTCCTCCTACTCCTCCCTTACCACCGTTCGCCACCCTGTTTCTTGTCGACCATTATATGGGGTTATGGATGTTAGCTTTCCATCGAGCTGATTAATACCACGAAAAATCCAATCCTCAGAACTATTTTTTTTTATTAATTATAAAAAATCTTAAACTGATACGGTTATCACAAATTAACTCTCTCTCTCTTAATTTATTTGTTGGATAACACGTGTCAACCAACGGATATACCAGTCTCGATTTTATCATCTGTTTATTACAGGTATACCAGTTTGTGATTTTTCGAGAACTAACGGATGGTTAATTTATTATAAATGTACCAGTTTGAGGTTTTTAGTGCTTAAAAAATTAGATTTGGATAAATTTATCACATATGTACCAGTTTTGAAGTAAATTTATCACAAATATATCGATTTAAGGATTTTTCATGATATTAACCCTATATATAGTTCCCTCTTTACGCAAGTCAAATGCTTCTTTTAAGCAGAAAACTAAAATGAATATGCAATAGAGGGCAATAAATAGCGCTGTATCTATCTATGTAAATGATACCATTACAAGAGTGTTTTTTTTCTTAGTGTCGCCTCTATATTTGCCATCCAAAGATTGTCCGTTCTCTTCTTTCTTTCTTGCTTGCTTGAAGGGTTTACGTGTTCATATTTTTCTAGAGAAATGCCGTTACAGGACGGACGGAAAGGTGGTGAATGAATGGATCGATTTCGTCACGACTGTGCTTTGCTTCTCCTTCAATATCCAAAAGTCTCCATTTTACATCCACTTATCGTTTGGATGAGCCTCATGTCTCTCTTCATGGAATGGCATGCGTTATTCTTGGAATTGCCTTTTGGATTGTTATACCAGAATGAGGAATTTAAATCAAAAGAAGGAAAAATTATGAGATATTCGCTGTGCATTTTCCTTATTGACTGCTCCTATAGTTGGACCGAAAGGGAGAATGTACGTGTCGTGTCATGTCATGTGAAGGGTCACTCTCACTTATGCCTTTCATTTGTGCATATGCATGTGCCTACTTCACAGCTACTACACAGAAGCTCGCTGCTTTGTTTTCATATAGTTTCTCACAGCCAGATGCTCAGTACTTCCTGCTTATTTCTTGAGATTTGCTCCAACGGGACAAACTAAAAATGGGCCAAATTGAATATTTTATTCAAAAATCAAACTCCTCAACAACTAAAACGCACAATAAATACAGAAAATATCGATTAAGAAGTTCCCTCAGGAAAACAATCAAGGAACACTACAAGCTGGTATCATTTAGCCTTGGAATGCCATTCTGTTCTCGCACGAACGATCTCTGCCTTGTCTGCTTGCATCCGGAGAAGATGAGTGAATTCTAGCTCCGGACAGCAGCCAGTTTTATGAGGAGGGTCAGTATCAGAGTCTACGACAATGCTCGCAGTTGCGCTGGTTAAAGACTCCAGCAAATTTGATTGTCGGCATTCGCGCCGATATTCCAGTGTCATGCTTGTTAGACTGAAAGCCTCCAATACATTAATTGGCACGCTCTGCAGAAAATGACATGCCAGGGAGAGTTAAGAACGTGAAAAAGACGGCAATCTCGATTTTCAGGGGAGGAGGCAAATTTGCTTCTTGGTATGGTAGTTCAGAAAATGGTGGAAAATCAGGTCTACGGTTTTCGCTCTTTCTTGTCGTGCATTATAAATCTCACCTAAACTTAGTGGACTCTGATATAAGCTTCTGCAGATACTAAAAGTCATCATACAGTACAGTGCAGATAAAGGAGATACACGTCTTTTCAGTCTTCATAGTCATAATTTTCCAAGTTCACTAAATTCGGTTCATGTAACACAGGAAAGTTTAGTTAAGTACCTCTAAAATCCATCCAATGTATTTTACATTGTTTACATGCTGGTTGGCATCCATGTCATTCCATCTTGGCTGAAAGGCAAGGGTTAAACATGAAACGAAGGACCCAGAGTAAATAAGGGAGAATTAGGATAATCAGAAACTTACAGCTAAGCCCGAGCGAATTCTCTCCGCCGTTGCATCGGTGAGCTTGTCTATTTTATCAGTATCATTTTCTTCTGCGGGAATTGCCAATTTGTTCAGGTAGAAAGGTATGACTTCTTGTCTAACTTGATCAGGGATCTTGGATAATCTTCTGGTCTCTCTGTTCATTATCACCCATGTGCTGCACGGTAACAATTGGTTTAGGCAATAATGAGAACAGAGGACAACTGAGTGTTAGAGCTTCAAACCAGGGAGATGCAGCGCGCACCTGGTCGCTCTTGTTATGGTCTCCTGAGTGTTGTAATCACGGATAATCCAGTCTCTCCGCATTCCATTCTTTCCCGCTGCATCGACCCAGGTGTCGATCTCCACAACATCCCCCCTGTCACAGATATTGATAATGCTACTCTTCAAAGCGAAAGGACATTTCAATCACAGAAATGAGTGCTAGGCTCGAGAAGAGAAGGTAACTTTTCATTATGGTGGTTCATTCAAGCTATTATCAAATTGAAATTCTCGTTTGTCAGATTCTTCTGATAAAACGTGGTGAAATGTGCGAGAGGAAAATAAAATAGAACTGGTTAGACAAGTCTCTTGATGTCAAGATGAAAATTTATTTTCATAGGCTATGGGAGAGACTGATTGAATGTGAAATATACCAAGAACTGTATCTCTGTACTTGTACATGGATGCGGGTGACAACCCAGATCAGTTTCCGAAGACTCATCTCCCGAGTAGCGCCAAATCCATTGCCAGCAAGGCCGGAGCTGGTTACATGGTTGAGGGCTGTCTCCTGCGCTAACCATTGACAAAGAGTGAGCCATTGAGTCCTTTTATGTTTTACCTAGGAAAATTTCTTCCCTGCATTGGGTACAAGGTGGACCGGATGATCGTGGTCGTCAGGCTTGCGGGATCCATAAGATCCGACAACTCGGACAGTCCAATCCACCATGATCAGGGCGTAGGCAAGACCATCCCAATTCCTATTCGTAACCTATGCAATTGATTAACCTGGAACGCAATGCGGACGAAGCGAGGAACTGACCTGAAGGAGATTCATAAGGGTCTCCATGGTGGCAGTTTTGTCAGGTCCAATTTCATACGACCTGATAATGAAAGTTTGCCTGTACACAAACCGGTCATCAACAAACCTGCCGACCAGGCACGCATGCGGCAGCGAATCAGCCCCACATTCTTTTACCAACTTATCCGGATTGCTCGTGGCGGCGTTGTACAATGGAGCTTCATTTATATAAACCCCATTGATCTTTTTCCCATTGATCATCCCAACCATCTGATCTCTGTCCAGACCGGCGGTCACCAACAGTTTCTGAGGGGACCTCGATGCACTGTCCCTGCACCTCCGAGAGCAAAATCCAATCCTTGCCATGACCACGGCATTGTTCTTCTCTCCCCTGCCCCCTAAGGAGCCACCGGGAGGCCATGCAGGGAAGTCGCACGTCCCGGCCATGATTTTCATCGACAGAGAGTCGTTCATTTTGCAGGAAGAAGGGGCGTTATGATCAAACAATGCAAGAAAAACGAGGGGGCGAGAAAAGTATAAGCAGGTGTAGCTTGTAGCCCATGATGGCACTGTTTCAAGGAAGAAATGAAGACTCACTATAGTAGGTGCAACTAATAATACGCAGCGATGAAGGCATAAGGAGATTTGCAGGGGCGCGTAGGGAAGGAGAATTGAGGGGGTCAAACGAGAGAAGAGATGAACGTAGCTCAACCACTTTTAACGGGGTGGGAGAGAAAATGGGGGGAGGTCCCCGCCCGGATTGCACGCCAGCACGCGATTGTCGATGCTTCCCTCGGTCCTCCTTTTGAATGGACCTCTCCGGTGTCCTCCTAAATTTAGAAATCAGATTTTGCTCTCGTGACCAAGCTAACTCAAATTAGCCCATCACTGTACCCTGACCGACAATCCCTGGAGGAGTTGGAGGGCAATGAACATCTCCCCCCCCCCCCCAACCCAAATCAGTCCCTTCCCCCCCTTCTGATCTTGCAGAACCTGTCGGTGTCAGTGGAGGCTCAAAAAGTGGTGCTTTGAATGGTTCATTGCTGGGCCTAATTTCAAAAAATTTCATTGTTATGGATCGAGTGACAATTCTGATTTCAATATTTTTTATTTTGTAAAAATACATCAATTTTAGGTCGAGTGACAATTTTAGCTACAACTTTTTTTGTCTCATAAAAAATCACTAACTTTCATTTAAATCATAAATCTCTGAGCCACAGCTTGAAGAATAACAGCGAAACTATTCGTCTCATTCACTTCACCGGCAAGTCAAAAAGATCTCCATATTGAATATCTCTGGTCAGATTTCGTCGTTTTGTCATAATATGAAATTGTAGACCACGGCCCGTCGACAGACGCCATGGACAAGATCCGCCAAGCTCACGACCATAACTTTTATTCTCAAACAAGGGTGACTTCCGAGAGAGAGAGAGAGTCAACGGAGGGCCAGATTTGGGATAAGGATGAAAGTTTGTGATTTTTTATGAGGCAAAAAAAAGTTGGGCCTAGAATGGTCTACTTGACCTAAATTTTGTGTTTTTTTTTTATGAGACAAAAGAAAATTGGGATCAGAATTATCACCCGACCTAAAGTTTGTGTTTTTTTTTTTTGGAATTAGCCCTTCATTGCTGTCAAAATCTTCTGCTCATGACAGAATCCATGGCACTCTTTATCTCCGTTTGAAATTTCTCCGAGTCTGAGATCAAAAGGGTGATGTTGGAATTTGCATTTTGATATTCAGGATCACGGACGGAGTGGTGCGCTCTTTACAGGGACCCCAACTAAGAGGACCAAGTGGAGCTCATTTGAGTAAAATTTGGGTCCTCGTTTTCTCAACTTTTCTGGCCGAGACATGCAGAAGCAGCTCGGCCCGCGGACACTCAAAAGCCCAAGAAGAGAAAAATGACAAAAGAATAAAAAAAAGGAGGGGGGGAACGAGACAAACGATCTCTAAACTTTTAATTTAATGTGCAATGTGATCCATGAATTTTTAATTTATTTAATATGATCCCTGAACGTTAGCCCAATATGTAATGTGATCTATAAACTTTTAATTTGTTCAATATGGTCAATGAATATTGAATAACATGATAACATTGAATTTTTTTCATATAGTTCATGCATTAATTTGAATATGTACCATAAATTCATGGATCACATTGAATAAATTAAAAGTTTAAGGATCACGTTACATATTGAGTTAAAATTTAAAGATCACATTGCACATTAAATCAAAGTTGACGAACCGTTGGTGTTGTTATCTCAAAGAAAAAAAAAGGGGGGCAACTTGTCGGCACGTGGCCGGGACACGTGTCACCGACTGCCCCAAATATAATACCCAGCTTTGATCATGGACAAAAGCGAAGATTCAGGTGCGGGAGATCGAAGAGTTGTACCGAATTTGTATAGATAAAGGGCGACAGTGGACCGTGATCAATAAACCTCGCTTCGAAGATGGATTCCCGACACGTGGAACGCCCAAAGCCTCGCGGGGCTGCCACGTGTCCCCTCGCGCTTGGCCTTCTTATAGGGGCGTTTCTTCTTCCCTCCTGCCGGATCGCATCGTTTCTCTCTTTCTTTCTTTCTTCTTCCTGCACTCGATTCCTCTGTTCTCATCTCCCCATTAGAGTTTCTCTGAATCCCTTCCGCCCATCCGATTCGGCAAAGCAATGGGTAATCTGTGGACTGTCCTCACGCACGCTCACTCCCTCGCCGGGTACACTTGTTCTTGTTCTTGTTCTTGTTCTTCTTCTTCTTCTTCTTGCTCTTCTTCAACATTTATTGAAGGACTTGCGTGGCTTAACGATCTTGATGGGATTCGCGCAGGCCGGTGCTGATGCTGCTCTATCCTCTGTAAGATTCCCACCTCTTTCTTCCCATGATGCTTACTATGTAGGCCAATTAAGCAGGGGAGATTGGGGTTTGATGGGGGTGTGCTTTCTTTGGGCAGGTACGCGTCTGTGATGGCCATAGAGAGCCCGTCCAAGGTAGACGATGAGCAGTGGCTGGCTTACTGGATTCTGTATTCGTTCCTCACCCTCGTCGAGATGCTCCTCCAGCCTCTTTTTGAGTGGTAAGTGGTGATGAATCATATCTTGTTGTGTGCTTGATGATTGAATCGATGGGCTACTGAGATGATGGATCATCCTCTTCATCATCATCAGGGTAACCATATGGTACGATGTGAAGCTCATCTTGGCAGCGTGGCTGGTCCTCCCTCAGTTCAAAGGCGCGGCTTTCCTGTACGAGAAACTCGTGCGAGAGCGCATCCTGAAGAGGCACCCCAAGTCCTCCTCCCCTACCTCGTCCCCGAATGGCAAACCCAAGTCCAAGAACAAGTTCGTCGACTTCATCACCCACAAGAAAGTGAAGTCTTTTAACATCAGGCCTCTGCCTCCTGTCCCTTTTCTACTTTCATATATATATACAGCTTTTGCTAACCGAAAGTGTGCAACTTTGCCTTGGCCAGGGAGAGCACGGGGCGTATTGATCGGAGGAGGTGTCTCGGATTCCCGGCAATTCTGTCTTTTACACGCGAGAGCATGCTGTGTTTTTTATGTTATACATCCTGTACGGCTCCTGATCGAAAAGGCTTTAATGGTACCACAGCTTCTTCCTTGATTCCCCACATCTTCTTTCTTTCTTTCTGCTTGTATATACTTGAAATCACCGAGAAAAAGCTGCAGTTTTTGCTGCCACGCAAGAATTCTCAAAACAGCACAAACAATTCGCATGAACAGGGCAGTAAGGTCATGATTCGCTGCGCTACGAATTCAACCATACATGATTGCTAAACGGAACTAGTTAGGTTGGTCGGTTCACCTTAGCTATAGCTCTCGACATCGACGGCAGAGCGGAAACGACAACAGCAGTGGAATTCAGGCAAGCTACAAAGCTGGGCAAACGCAAGATACGCAGACAGATGGTCCCCATAATGCTAGTCGATTCTTGACATTGACAATACCTCACTACCTACGAAGCTTCCTCCAATTAGTCAAAAGTAACGTGGAAGGGGGTGAGCCACAAAGCTTAACTCTGATGTTGACTATATTTCTGTGGTCCCCGAATTGAATGGGAACACCCAAGATATTATTCCCTCACCTGATTTTAGTCTTATTGCCCAAGGGACCCTCGTGACATTTACATCTTGTTTCACTACAAATAGAGGTCTGTCCCGATTAGTGAAATATCTTTCACCAAAGGTTGACCCTTTGATTTTTTTATTAAGCGGGTTTAGTGGCGATTCGGATGGGAATTGAATATGCATGACAAGGACGAAGAACGATGAGCTTAAAGGAAGAAATGCAAGTACTGAAATCTGAAAATATATTGATAAATTGCAAATACAATAAGAATTTGTTTTGGTCGTATGATCGGACGTCGATTATGTGTTGGCTCCATCATCCAATCAATATGTCCGTCGATTATTCACCATCGTGCATCGATAGCTCTATTTCATGGTTATCGATAAGTGTTTCTATTATCAATAGCCTACCAATAACCAAATCCAACTTAAAACCAAGTTCTATACTAATTTAAATTGGCCCCATATCGATTGCAAGGACTTGGCCATTTTTTGGCGTGAACACGTCTATGTCATGCATAAATTCTTGCCCACAAGATCATTTAGAGGGACTTCCAGACATGGTAGAACCTTCAATAGCAAGTCATGATCCATGCCTTTTAAGGTACCGACGTCGCCAAAACAGCTCCTCAATGTAGTAGTGTACTGTTGGAGACCCTGTTCATTCCTTTGTCCCGGTGGGCATGTCGGAAGAATCTTAACGTGTCGAATCGACTCCTGTCTTAGAGACCCCACTTTGTTTTACAGAGGTAGATTCATTGGAGGAGCACACGGTTCTTATCTATAAGCCTCAATTCTAGCGGATATATAGACTGGACACTGTGCAACTTCAGCGAGGACGATCAAGTCGGTGCGAGTGATCGTGACGGTGGACAAAACAAACAAAAGGAAAAAAAGATAGAAGGGAAAGGAGAGACAGGTGTGACCGTTCACCGCAGTTCAAGCGGAGCAACAATTTCGGACGGGGCGTGTTCGCCCCATGCAGAAACTGCCATCCCTGCACCTCCTCTACCGCTTATTATCTCTCTCTCGCATATCATCACTTCTCGCTCTCTCTTCTCGGGAGCTCCCGCGCCGGCAGGCAGCAAAGCGAGCAAGAGAAACTGGAGAGAAGTGAGGCTGTTAAGACATGGATTTGATCCACAAGTTCCTGAACCTGGTGGCTCCTCCTTTCACTTTCTTTTCCCTCTGCCTCTTCTTGCCCCCTTTCTACGCTTTCAAAGGTAAGGTCGTCCTCATCACGGGTGCTTCCTCCGGCATTGGAGAGGTACATGTCGCCGTCGCTTTGTGACCATCTTATGCGTCCGAAATGACCAACATGTTGTGCTGTTTAAGTTAAATTTTATGTTGCGTGCAGTACCTGGCTCATGAGTATGCGAGGAGGGGTGCCTGCTTGGCTCTGGTGGTCTCCGAGTCCGAGATCAAAAAAGGGTGTTGTTGGAATCTAGCATTTTGATAAATCAGGATCAAAGATGTGGTGCGCTCTTTACAGGGACCCCAACTAAAGAGGACCAAGTGGAGCTCATTTGAGTAATTTGGGTCCTCATTCTCTCAACTTCTCTGGCCGAGACACGCAGAAGCAGTCGGCCCGCGAACGCTCAAAAGCCCAAGAAGAGAAAAATGACAAAAGATTAAAAAAGAAGAGGGAAATGACACGGATGCCCCTCAACTTTGATCAAATATACAATATGGTATCTGAATGTTAGCTCAATACACAAAGTGATTCCTAGACTTTTAATTTTTTCAATATGATCCTCGGACGATATGTAAATATTCAATATTATCATTCAATTAAATCGAAGTTCGGGAACAATATCGAATATTTTCATATAATTAATAAATTAATTTAACACGTGGATCAAGAGTTCAGAAATCAGATTGAATAAATTAAAAATTTATAGGAATAATATTTGTCATTATTCCAAGAAAAACGAGAGGGGAACTTGTCGTCACATGGATAGAAGCAAAGATTCAGGTGCGCGAGATCGAAAAGGAAGGAAGTGCGAGCACGTACTTTGTACAGATAAAGGGAGACAACGGGGGACCGGTGATCCGATCGATCAATCAATCAATCAACCTCGCTTTCGAATCTCGAGGCTGCCACGTGTCCACCCGCGCTAAGGCCTTCTTATACGGGCGTTTCTTTCTTTCTTTCTTACAACGTCCGTCCGAGAATCTGCACTCGATTCCTCTGTTCTCATCTCCCCATTAGAGTTTTCTCTACTGATTAAACTCCCTTCCGCCCATCCGGTTCGGCAGAGCAATGGGTCATCTGTGGACTGTCCTCACGCACGCTCACTCCCTCGCCGGGTACTCCTCCTCCTCTTCTTCTTCTTCTTCTTCAACATATATTGAACGACCTGCGTGCCTAAACGATCTTTGATGGAATTCGCGCAGGCCGGTGCTGATGCTGCTCTATCCTCTGTAAGATTCCCTGTCCTTTCTTCCCATGATGCTTGCTATGTAGGTCAAGGCAGGGGAGATTGTGGGTTTGATGGTGGTGCGTTTTCTCTGGGCAGGTACGCGTCTGTGATGGCCATAGAGAGCACCTCCAAAGGAGAAGATGAGCAGTGGCTGGCTTACTGGATCCTCTATTCCTTCCTCACCCTCGTCGAGATGCTCTTCCGGTCTCTTCTTGAGTGGTAAGTGGTGATGAATCATCTCTTGCTGTGTGCTTGATGATTGATGGAGGGGATTACTGAGATGATGAATCATCATCCTCTTCTTCATCGTCATCAGGGTACCCGTATGGTACGATGTGAAGCTCATCTTGGTGGCGTGGCTGGTCCTACCTCAGTTTAATGGCGCGGCTTTCCTGTACAAGAAACTCGTGCGAGAGCGCATCCTGAAGAGGCACCCCAAGCCCTCCTCCCTTACCTCCTCCCCCATTGGCAAACCCAAGTCCGAGAACTAGTTCGTCGACTTCATCACCCACAAGAAAGTAAAAGTCTTTTAACATCACGGCCTCTGCCTTCTTTCCCCTTTTCTACTTTCATATATATATATACAGCTTTTGCTAACCGAAAGTGTGCAAGTTTGCCTTGGCCAGGGGGAGCAAGGGGCGTATTGATTGGAGTAGGTGTCTCGGATTCCCAGCGATTCTGTCCTTTACACGCGAGAGCTTGCTGTGCTTTTTATGTTATGCATCCTGTACAGCTCTACTGATCGAAAGGCTTTAATAGTACCTCAGCTTCTTCGATGATTCGCCACATCTTCTTTCTTTCTCTTTGCTTTTGTATGCTTAAAATCACTGAGAAATGCTGCGGTTTTGTCACCACACAAGGATCTCAAAACAGCACAAACAATTCGCATGAACAGGGCAGTAAGGTTATGATTTTCTGCGCTACGAATTCGACTATACATGATTGGTAAAACTGTGGCTATACCTCTCGACATCGACAGCAAAGCGGAAACGATAAAAGCAGTGGAATTCAGGCAAATCTACAAAGCTGTGAGAATGCAAGATATGCAGACAGATGGTCCCCCTTAATGCTAGTCCATTCTTGACAATACCTCACTATCTAAAAAGCTTCCTCCAATTAGTAAAAAAGTAATGTGGAAAGGGGCGAGCCACAAAGCTTTAACTCTGATGTTGACTATATTTCTGTGGTCCCCAAATTGAATGGGAACTCCCAAGAGATAATCCCCTTACCTGATTTTAGTGTTGTTGCCTAAGACCCTCGTGACATTCACATCTTGTTTCACTAGAAATGGGGGTTCGTAGCAATTAAAGAGGTGAAGTGGCAACTCGGAGGGGAATTGAATATGCGTTACAAGGACGAAGAACAATAAGCTTAAAGGAAGAAATGCAAGTACTGAAAATTGAAATATATATTGATAAATTGTAAAGTATAATTGGACTTTGCATCTTTTTACAACAATTTCACATTGCCTTATATAAACGATGGTCATAATTGCATTTTCGTAACTTAAGGTCTCATGATTGCACGTCGACATTTCTCCATAAGTGGTTACAACTCATTAAATGCAACCGAGTTTGGTATTTTTGTCTTCAATCGACATCTTCACTTCATCTCCTCTCTTTACTTCCCTGCATCCAAAAACTTACCAAATTCATATTAACATTGCCCATGTGTTGGTTTTGTCATCCAATCATATATGTCCATCAACCATTAATTAATTCATTTTAACATTGGCTATATGTTGGCTTCATCATCCAATTGATATGTCCACTGACCATTCCCCATCATGCGTCGATAGCTCTATTTCATGATCATCGATACACCATCGTGAACATCAATAAAGTGTTTCTATTATCAACAACTTAATGATAACCAAATCCAAGTAAGCACCAAGTTCTATGCTCATTCAAATCGGCGCCATATCGATTGTAAAGACTTGGTCATTTGATGGTGTGAACATGTCTAGTCACGCATAAATTCTTGCCCACAGGATCATTTAGAGGGACTTCCAGATACGGTAGAACCTTCAACAGCAAGTCATGATCCATGCCTTTTAAGGTACCGACGTCGCTAAAACGGCTCCTCAATGCAGCAGTGTCCTGTTGGAAACCCTGTTCATTCCTTTATCCGGTGCACATGTCGGAAGAATCTTAACGTGTCGAATCGACTCGAGAAGGACTGTCTTAGAGGATCCCACTTTGTTTTACAGAGGTAGATTCATTTGAGGAGCACAGGGTTCTTATCTAAGCCTCAATTGTAGCGGATATATAGACTGGATATTGTGCAATTTAAGCGAGGACAATCAGTCGGTGCTAGTGGTCAAGACGGTGGACAAAACAAACAAAAGGAGAAAAGATCAAAGGGATACGAGAGACAGACAAGTGCGACCGTGCACCACAGTTCAAGTGGAGCAACAATTACGTTCGTAGCGTGTTCGCCCCATGCAGAAGCTGCCATCGCTCCACCTCCTCCACCGCTTATCTCTCTCTCCCATATCATCACTTCTCGCTCTCTCTTCTCGGGAACTCCCGCACAGGCAGGCAGCAAAGCGAGCAAGAGAAACTGGAGAGAAGTGAGGCTGTCAAGACATGGATTTGATCCACAAGTTCCTGAATCTGGAGGCTACTCCTTTCACTTTCTTTTCCTCTGCCTCTTCTTGCCCCCTTTCTACGCTTTCAAGTTCTTCCTCTCCACATTGAGCTCCGTCTTCAGCGAGAGCGTCGAAGGTAAGGTTGTCCTCATCACTGGTGCTTCCTCCGGCATCGGAGAGGTACGTGTCGCCGTTGCTTTGCGACCGTCTTATTCGTCCGAAATGACCTGACATGTTGTGCTGTTTAAGTTAAATTTTATGTTGCGTGCAGCACCTGGCTTATGAGTATGCGAGGAGGGGTGCGTGCTTGGCTCTGGTGGCCCGGCGGGAGATCTCGCTGCGGGAAGTGGCGGAGAGGGCGAGGGAGTTGGGCTCTCCAGAAGTCATAGTCATTCAGGCCGCTGTTACCCAAGTTGACGACTGCAGGCGCCTCGTCAATGAGACCATGAATCACTTCCAAAGGCGTACCTTGTTCTTGTTTCTCTGTTTTTCTCGTTTTGTTGCTTTGCATAATTAGATTTAATGATTTGATGCACGCTCGTACTACGTCGCGATGGATTGCAGTGGACCATCTGGTCAACAACGCCGGGATTAATTCCATCTGCAATTTTGAAGATGCAGGGGACATCACCAATTTTAGAGCTGTCATGGTAATTCACACCCACTTTGTCTGAGATTATGATTTACGGGGCATCAGCATGTTTAATCAGGTACAAGAGAGAGAATGGATCTGAATGGGTAGTGGCACATGAGGAACATACAATGGATGGGATACAGGGACTCCTATCAATTGAACTAGGTCGTTTTCCTTTCCCTGGATGGAAGGGAACACATGGGCTTAGAATCAGAAACTTGATTTGGTAGAGTGCAGGTGGTGGCCAAGGTTTCTGACTATTGAATTGAATGATGCAGGACACTAACTACTGGGGTTCGGTGGTTCGCAGTTCCATACCTAAGGAACAGCAGAGGCAAGATCATAGTGCTTTCTTCCTCTTTCTCCTGGTTGCCTAAGCCCCGAATGAGTTTCTACAATGTAAGCTCGTGCTTGCTTTCTGATCAACGCATGTATTCAGTTCGGATTCAGTCTCACTCACAGACATTCGAATCTCATCACAGGCAAGCAAAGCAGCCCTGCTGAGCATGTTCGAGACATTGATGGTGGAGCTGGGTCCTGACATTGGTATAACCATCGTCACGCCTGGATTCATAGAATCGGAGCTGACTAAAGGGAAACACTTCACCAAGGAAGGCAAGCTGGAGGTGGATCAAGACTTGAGAGATGTAAGCTTCAGCATTTTATGGAAACCAATGAAGAAAAAAGTATAGTGTAAGGAGAGTCGGTAACAATGCAAATGACGATGATGCAGGTCCAAGTGAGCATGATCCCGGTGGTGTCAGCACAAGGATGTGCGAAAGCGATAGTGAACAGCGCATGTAGAGGGGACAGGTACTTGACTGAGCCAGCATGGTTTAAGATGACCTACCTCTGGAAGGCATTCTGCCCTGAGATCATAGAGTGGACGTACCGGCTCCTGTATCTGGCTGGCCCCGGAGAACCCCCAACGGAAGCACCCAGCAAGAAGTTGGTGGATCTCCCCGGCGCCAAGAAGCTGGTCTACCCAAGCACCATTCAGACACCCCAAATCAAAACTGAGTAGCCCCTTTTCCAGTTCCACTCCGTTTCTATCTTGTCCCGCCTACCATGTGCATAGTCTGTATGTTGTCGTATCAGGAAAAGTTACTCTTTTGTAAATGGAACTGCAAATAAAAGGAACCACAGACCTTTCGTTGCCCTGATCTGGTCACAAATTGCCCGGACATTCTTTTATTCCGTCGCAAAGCCTCCATGATGTTCATGCCAAGGAGGTCATTGGATCTACGTACTGGTCCTCCTTATTCCAGTACTTTCTTGATTTCACGTAATTTTCTTGGCCATTCTGCATGTGCTGTTAATATATGTGGCAAAATTAGTCTACTACCGATTTGACTCTATTGAGTCGGATTTAACGGGTCAGGTAACATCCGGGTGGGTCAGGTAGCATGCGGGTCGCTACAAATTTAGGACCTAGGAAGAGAACTGTAATAAGAGAAGTCTGTGGCTTGCGATGTGCGTGGCCGTCAATGTGGCCCTCATCAGGAGACTGGCCAGGTATAGAGAGAGGTTGAGCGAGGGAGTGGGGAATCAATGACCATCACGATGGCGGAGGTGGTGCCAAGGCCTGTGACCACCAATGAGGGAATGGTCGCTGGAAAGTCTAAAACAACGCCAATGCAAACCTGGCAATGCACATCCAGATCTCTGCATCAAATCCTTTTATTAAAAAAATAGAAAAGGAAATAAGCTTTCCTTTCCTAATTTGCTGCGCACGACAAGAGTGCATCATCAACTGACAACTCCGGTCTTCTTCAGGGAAGAAACCTTACAATGATTTCTGATGACCACCGCACGCGACGGGCTACCACAACGTCCCAGGCTAGTCCAATTCGCGCACACAATGTCGTGTGCAACGTGACCCGGTTGGAAGGAACGCCGCTAGGATGTAAAAGCTCCAAGGAACATCTTGTAAAGCATACGCTGATAGTCTGATACAATGTATCACATTCTTTTACCCTTGGAAAGGTTTGCCAGATCTGAAGATTCAAAATGGTGAAAGTCGAGCCCGACCATATCCCATTACAGAAGAAACTGAAAGAAACCTATTTCTCCTGAGACTTCCTACTTTCTAGCCGGGGCACTTTAACGTCGGGTGTAACTAAACATTAGTCAAGAAACCAAACTCTAACATTATCTCCTAAAGCCAACATTTGCATGCGACATTCGAGATGAGTCTTTTCTTCAACTGAATGAGATCACACATGAAGCAACAAGAGCATGAAAGAAATACCCGAAAAGGGCTCATGGAACAGTAATTTAGCTAATGTTGATGGCACTGAATAAAAATTCAGAAATAATGTTATGCTGAAGATTTACGCATGAGAGATTGCAACTGCGTACTGACAACAGCAAAGCTCTTCGCTTTGCCCATTTCGCTTTTACTCCGCTTCAACAGGTCACTCTAAAAATGTTAACAATGAATAGTTATTTACAATCGCTTGAGCTCTCCTTTGTTTTCCTAGTTCTACTGCACTTCTAATAATTAAAGACTGCAAAGAAGGAAGTTAAACAAAGGACTAGAATAGTCAAATCCCGATATTAACGGAGGAGTTTGAAAGATAGCATAAACATGAAGAAGATTGATCCAGTCAGCCTCCTCACCTGGAAATAAACCACCTCCTTTGTCTTCGGGACTGCAAACACCAACTTCTTCATTATCTCCCATATCTTTTGCCTTCGAGAGGACAAACTCCAAAGTCTTCCTTTTAAGAGCCATTGAACACTCCCAATATGACAAAATGATCTTCAAAGAGATCTCAAGGAACTTGATCAGCAATCAGGTTCTCCTTTCTTCTCTTAGCGTTTGTTTGGCAGCACACTCGCATTCCCCATTTGAAAAGATGTTTCCTTTTTCATCTTGCATTTCTGATTGAACTGCAACACACTCATATTGAAAACGCTCTCGTTTAAAACGTAATCAATCGAAGACTACTTGAAAATGGTTTTCTGCATAGAAACAAAATGTTCCAAATGTTCTTTCTCAAGATATAAGCCTTCGTATTGTGAATGCAAGTACTTTGGATAGTCTGCACTGCAACTAATCTTTCACCCAAGAAACATCTTCCAAAATTAGCTCATACTTGGCACTTGAAGCAGTGGCAGACAGGCTTATCCAACTTGCAGGAAGTTTATGCTTGAAACAAGTCCCTCATGTTCTTTGCACTGTCTGCTCAATTTATTATTATCAATTTTCAGAGCTCGGCACGTCCTTTGCCAATAGGAAGCAATTCATGCCTGGACAATCAAGGGGATACATCGACAGAATTTGATGATGAGCGTTATTCCTGAGCCGAGGTAAAGGACTTGAGTCTTCTCAGGAGCTGCCATGCATCAGACGTATTACAACCTTCATCCATCTCAATCGCGATTGGAAACGGAGAAGTTCCATTGATCTCCACAAGCATGATTCCCTGATATACAGTGATGCCACAATATAAGCATAAAAGCTAGAAAACATAGTAGCAGTTGAGTTGCCGTTAATGGATTGCTGGAAATATTACCTCAAAATTCACTAGAAAATATTGAAATTTTCTTAATGTCTCCTTCATGGCACTGACTATTGTCTTGTCTGTAGAAGAAAGAGCTGCAGTAACCTCCTCTGGAGAATGCCCAATTCCCTTGAGCACGACCTGATAGTATGCGCAACTGGTCAGCATGTCCAATTCTCAGATAAAAGAAACAGATACGTAAGAAGTTCTGGGATCAGCAATCAATCAAAACGCACATTATTACTGATCAGTATATCAGATATGAGGCTTCCATCATCAACATAAACTTGAAGCTCGTATGTTGTCCTTTGCTTGTACTGGAATCCCTTCACACCAGTCAAAAAGCACTGCAATATATGCATTCATGGAAAGAAGCATGTAAAGGAGTTCGTCAGAACCTACCCTAAGTTCCATGCTCACTAACAGCTATGGGCTCTTAGTTTTCAGCCATGGTATACAAGTTCCCAGTAAAGTGTTATAATCGCCAATGGATAAAAATATTGGTCATGTAGCTCTTCCAGGAGTAGGACGGAGAAAGAAGAGCAATGATGCCAATCAAGAATATACAAATGTAGACTAGAGATAAAAGGCAAAGCAAGAGAACATCAGAAAAGCACAGAAAAGTAAGAAGAACATGTGAACAATAGATGCAAACCATAGTTGTGTTTTTATATTAAAGTAGATGACATTTGCTTATCCATTTTACTTGGTCATCGATGAAAGATAACATATCTGCTTTGATATGGCAAACTTCATTCAAAAGAACAACTCCACACAAAAATTCCCCCTATCTAAGTAGTAGTATTCCTTTCCGCTGTAAGCATGACAGCGTGAGCCCTTTCATTGAAGCCTATTCCCTCTACAATTTACAAAACTATGATAGATGGTGACGCAGTTGGCATCTTTACCATCGGGAACCATATACAATCCACTTCCACAATCAGTGCCTCTGGGCAGGTCAACATGTTATTTCCACATTCTGGAGATTCCTTTGCTCATTCCAAGGGTAGCAACCTCATTTTGTGATCCTATGTACCTTGAAACCAGAATCATTCTACCAAGTATATCTGTGCTTACAAGTGAAAATGATAAAAGTTGGAGAATAAGAAAGAGGAGGACCAGCAATCCGTACCTTGACTTTTCCTTGTACGGAAGATGCTTTATCTTTCATTGCAGCCCACTTTGTGGATAAGCTAGCTAAGTACGTGAATGGGCTTTCTCGATCTCCAGATAATATGCGAGGATGTTCAATCTCATCGACCATTTCAATGTCATGCACATATGATGCAACATCTGAAGAAGGATTGGGTACGGAACCTGCTCTGTCCAAGGTCTCAACATCAGGATCCAACTCCTCGACAGATGAAACCATGCCATGTGAGAAGTCAGAAACCATGTATGGCATCGCATTAGAAAAGGAATCCACAGAGTTTGCTGCAACATTTGTTGAAGAACGGGAGGCGGTCTGCATGTTACTCATTGGAACAGCATCCACATGCATTTCTTCAAATTCTGAGATGAAGTTCGGTGATGGGCTAGGCACTGCATCCTGCACACTAGCAGGAACAGCAGACGGCACCGAGCTCCTTACATCATTACCCGATTCAGTTGGTGCCAAATTAATGCCTAAAGAACCACAAAAAGAAAACCCAAAAGTAAAGGAATCTCAGAGGAAAAAAAACACAAACTGAAGCTATATTCTGGTTTATAATTTTCATATTCTCATTAAAAATGCGAAAATATCAACGCCAGATTCCTGCCAAATTTTGAGAAACTAACAACTACGACTAAATAAAATTGTCCAGAGCAAAATATAAATCCTAACATCACCAGACAGAGTTACACAGGAAATCCAATCATACATACAGTAAAGAAAAGATGCGAAAAAACACGATCTAACCATTGTGGCCTCATTAAACTTTTCAAACTCAAGCGAAACAGAGAAAATATTAGCATCTTCGAGTAAAAGGAGTCTTTTAACAATTATGATGAATCTTGTCAACCCATTTTATCTTGGATAGTATTAAGAGCGGGAAAAAGACACTTTTTATGAAGCAGAAAGAGGATAACCAGATGCTTGAGCTGATTTATTTTTCATGTCCAAAGGTTTTCCAGTCATTTGACATAAGGGATCATGCATCTTTAATATCCTCTCATAATGCTATATAACTAACGGAAAATTTGCATCTCGTTCCAGATTAGAAGTACCTCTGCTCGTCAAGGAAGTAGATGAATCTTGTGCTGTAACACTACCATTTTGTGCCGCATCATCAACATTAGGTGACCAGGCGGCAAGTGTTGCTCTGTTTGCTAATGAAGGAGTGGCTCCGGACCTCGTTCTGACAAAGAATCCACAAATTAAAGTGAAGTGATCAATATCATAGAACTTGTCAAAAGCCAGACAGTAAAAAATCAGTGGGTGTCCAGGAAAGGAAGCAAAGACCACTATACATTAAAAGAGTACAAAAGATGCAACCAAATTGTTAGACTTGTCCTTTTCTTTGACACCACATTGCGAACTAAAGAAGGGAAACAAAAGACCTAAGCGGAAAAGGCATGATATAAACGTTTTGTGATTTCAGGTCACGTAAAATCGACAAAAATAATGTTCTTGATGCAATAAAAGCATATGCTGCAGCTGAAAGAAGTGTTCAGCAGACCTCTCAAATTAGGTGTCGAAATATACCTTCTCCCTCTCGGAGGTTTATTTACTTCTTCAACAAGCCGCTGACGTGCTGCTTCCAACTCATCGACAACTCCTCCTAAGACCTCAAGAGCTTCAGGGACCAACATCAGAAGGCCATGACGTATATGGACATTACAAAGAGCAATCTGCAGCGCGTGATAGCAAGATTCATCCGTCTTAGACAAAAGTAATTTGCTTAACCAAGAAGATGAACCGACAATTGGGGTAATCTAGATGTCCTGCACCCCCACACCCAAAGGGAAAAACAAGAATAAATCATCAAGCTCACACTCGGATGACACTATTGTTTCAGTTCAGCTGTGACCTATACAATTGATCAAAGATGTGAACTGAAAAACTACTTCTTCATCAAAAGCCACATTCAGACAAAGAGAGAGAGAGAGAGAGAGAGAGGAAGAGAGAGAGACCTTAAATCCAGAAGGGGCCAAAGCGTGGAGATCCTGAAGGGGGCGGTATTCCATGCCGAAAACACGTTGAACACCGTCGGTCATGGACAACTTGAGGCACCTCTTGAGGCCAGCAGGTGCATTCTGGTACCTGCCTCGAAGAGGACAACTGATGTTAACAATCTCATCTACCTGGAGAGAGTTGCAGCCCAGCATGAGAAAAGCTACAACATCGAACAAAAGAAGCGTCGCACTAGTTAAAATGGAGGGAACCGACCTGCAAGACGAAGGGCCCGGGGAGATGAGCGAGGTGCATGGCGTGGACATCCGGGGGGAGAACGCCGGCGCCGGAGGAGTTCATGTCGGAGAGCAAGAAGTGCTGAAAGCAGAGCTTGGCGACGGAGGGAGGGTCGAGGGAGGAGAAATGGGGAAGGGAGGCGCGGAGGGCGTCCAGGCAGGAGTCGAGCCATTCCCTCCTCAGCCTCAACCCCATCCCCTGCAGAAGCTCCGCCACCGGAGACGGAGGCGTCGTCGGCGGCGGCGGCGGCGGAGGGGAATGAGATGGGGAGGAGAGGCTCTCGGAGACGTCGATGAAGGCTTCGCCAACTTCGTCGTCGGAAATCTCAACCGCGGCAGGGGGAACAGGAGGATGCGGCGTAGGGTCGGGAGCGGCGGAGGCAGCTCCTCCATTTTCGTCGTCGTCGTCGTCGGAGGAGGAGGAACAGGCGAGTCGAAGGCGTCGCCTGCGCATCTTTCTCTGATTTTTCGCCTGGAAAAATTGGGATCTGCGGTTTGCAGGTCGCAACTTTTACAGAGCGAGTGTGGAGCTTCTTGCCCCCCAGATTTCTGATGTCGAGGAAGGAGATGATGGGCAAAACGAGGCCCGAAGGTCCGAAACTGCTGAGGCCCAGTCAGTACTTCTACAGGTAACGAAGCCCCTCTTAATTGAGTTCTAAACACTTATTGTATTTTTGCCGATTCAATTCTAAATCTTTCAATTTTTCCAAACATTTCACTTCTTTCCAATTAAATCCATCCGATTAATTTTGATCCGAAAGTGTCGATATAGACAATAGCCAATCTATGTGACACTAACGTAGATAATTTTTAATAATTTTGACCTAAAGGTCCTAAATCTTTTAACTTCTCCTCTTTGGCCGAGCGTCAGCAACCGGCCAAAGGAGAGGGTTGGCAAGGCTGACCTCGCCCAGCGATGGCAAGGCTTGCCCTTACCGGCAGGGGCAAGGCTAGCCCGAGGTCGAACTCACCGAGCCTCCCCTTTGGTCAGTTGCCGATGCCTTGTGACCAAAGGAGAAAAAAACAAAAGAAAAAGGAAAAGTGGGAAAGAAATAAAAATAAAAATAAAAAATTGAAAAATACTAATATATATATTATTAAAAATTATCCTCGTCAACACCACGCAAGACGGACGTCATCCGTATTAGAGATTTCTAGTCAAAATTAGACGAGTAGACTCAATTGATAAGAAGTAAAAATGTTTATGACTCAATTGGTAATAAATAAAAAAGGTTTATGACTTAATTGATAAAATTAAAAGGTTTGAGACTCAATTAGTAAAAGTGCAATAGGTTCGAGAGAATTTTTTGGACAATTTTCCCCAAAACTATTCCGAAGCATCCATGGTTTTCTTCCGTGCTTCTTGTTACGGGTTGAACCAGAGGGAGGACGGATGGGGACAGACGGTCGAGCGAGCTTCATATCCAGACAGATGTTCTCGGCCTGGGCCACTGCTAAAATCTCAAGACGTTTTTTAGAGTGGTAAGAACATGAACACCTTGGCCAACTACTACCCGACGACCCAACCCTTACCAAATCGTAATACCGGCGGTCGCTCAGGACCTCATCGCTTCGCCCTCTTCCTCCTCTGCTCGCTGAGTGCACCCATCTCATCCAATTCAAGCAAATCCTCCATGCCCACATCCTCAAGAAGCCCCATCATCACCATCGCACGGACTCCGACCTCACCCAGCTCGTTCGGTCGTTGCTGGGTCCGGGCCCCCCCCCCGCCAACCCCACCCGGATTACGCCCGCGCCGTGTTCGATCAAATAGCCCGTCATCCCTCCGCCTTCCTTTGCAACACGCTGTTGGGAGCCTGTGCTCTCCATGGCTCGGGCGACCGAGGGATCCGTGTCTATCATCGAATGAGGAGGCTCCTGGACGTGGAGCCCGACGCTTACACCTACCCGTTTCTTCTGAAGCTTTGGTCCGATCTTGGTCAAGGGAAAGCAGTCCACTCCCTCGTCCTCAAGCACGACGTGCTCAGCTCCCACCTGCATGCTTTGACTTCTTTGGTTGCTTTCTACTGCAGGTGCGGTGATCTCGGCTCTGCACGTTCCCTGTTCGACAGAATGACCCACAAGAATCTGGTTTCGTGGACGGCCATGATTTCTGGCTGTACCAAGCACATGAGGTATGAGGAGGGACTGGCCTTGTCTCGAGAAATGCTGCTTTCCGGGGTAGATATAAATGAGTTGACATTGGTCAGTGTACTGTCGGCTTGTGCTCATCTCGGAGCCCTTGACGTGGGTAGACGGTTGCATTGTTACATCCACCGGAATCGTGTTCCTCTTAACCCTTTACTCGCTGCTGCGCTTATCGACATGTATGCAAAATGTGGGCACATGGACAAAGCCTCTCGAGTCTTCCAAACGGCACCTCTAAAGAGCGTTTCGACTTGGGATTCTCTCATCGGTGGACTTGCTATTCATGGTAATGGAAGGGAGACCTTGGAGAGGTTCCAGCAAATGCAAATGGATGGAACAAAACCGGATGATGTTATGTTACCTTCATTGCCTTGTTATCTGCTTGCAGCCATTCAGGACTGGTGGGGAAGGCCAGGAGATATTCTATTCCATGAGAGGAGACTGTGGGATTCAACCTAATATCAAGCATTTTGGGTGTTTGGTAGATCTCTTGTGCAGGGCAGGCCGAATAGAGGAGGCTTACCAGGTCATGATAGATATGCCCATTGAACGCAATGAGTTCGTCTGGGGAGCTCTGCTCAATGCATGCACTCGCAGTGGTAATGTTTTGTTAGCTGAGAGTGCCATGGAAAAGCTCGTTGAGTTGGAGCCATTCAACGATGGAAACTACGCTCTCATGTCAAACGTTTACGCTGCTAACAGACAGTGGAATGATGTTGGCAAGGTCTGAAGACTCGTGAAAGACATGCAGATCATCAAGAACCCTGGTCTTAGTTTGATTGAGGTCGATAACATAGTGCATGAGTTCATGGTTGCAGACTTAAAGCACCCATTTCCAGGAGAGATTGACTCTACATTAGAAGATTTGGTGATGACAATTAGCTAAACAGAGGATAGTGATATTGCGCAAGATATGCTTCAGACAGTTTTTGATGTAGTTACATGGTGGGAGGTACAATTATCAGTCCATGTTCTTAAGTTGAAAACGGCAAATTATATCAAGGTCTTGTTGGTAACAAGTAGGTATTATTGTCTCTACTTTTGGTGATATGCAAGCCGCTGTTGGTCTCACAAGTACAGAGATTTTGTGCTGGTATGGGACATGAAAAGGAAAGACTAAAAGTAAATGTCCTACATGAGACCAAAGCCAAGTGGCTATCAGTTCACGTTTCATTTAAGCGTTTGTTGTTTTTCGTACTCAGTTCAAAGATTAATTGGGGGGAAACTTCAGATTCGGGAAACGGAGGATCTCCTTTGTAACGTTACTTTTAGACAGAGAGTCAGAGAGAAAGCTTTAAAGAGAGAGAAGAAGACAGAAATAGAAAGTGCAGGCTCGGAGACGAGGATAATTATCTTATTATGGTGAAGCGTTGGATAAATATATTTTGTATTGGTGATAACATGCAACTAACGCGATATGACTAATCAATCATCCAGCTTATTGGGATTTGAACATCGTACAATAGACAAAATCATAGAAATGCAATACACTTAATTGACCAGTAATACATCGTCAAAAAACCATATCCTATTAGAACAATGTTGCAGGACACACTTCATGTACTGCATGTGTTAATGTTCCTTTCCATCCCAATCAGTGTACTTGATATAGCTATACGTATATTCAGATTGCCCTAGACAGAGACGGGGTACTTCTGATGGCGATTTTCATTAGATCCAAATACAATTTTCTTTTCCACTTTTAAATGGAATTGGATCTTTGAACCTACTAGTATTAAAAGTGCTGTAATTTAAACAATCGCTTTCCTGCTTTGGACCATCCGAAAAAGAGGCCGCAAAAGTCGTGCTATAGACAAATGATACAACAAGGTTGTCAAATGGATATGGATGATTAAATGAATGTTCACGGAAGGACTTCACATATTAATATGCTGCATCATGGCCCGGATTTGTCTTGGAAGGACCTTGTCTGTATGGTTGAGAAACGGGGGGAGAAGGGAAGGCCAAGAGAGATGAGCGAAGAGAAGGAAGGTGGGAACCAACATTCAGTATCGTCTGTAAAAGCAACATAATCTTTGTATAATTAGATCAAGAAACCAAGAATTGGACGCCTACCCCACCAACCAAGCCTCAAATGGTATCAAATTCAGTCACACGCCACCCTTTATTCGGCTGGTAGTGTTTTGGTAAGGCCCATTGGGCAGTGGCAGTAGCCTACCCCTCCTTCAAGTTCAACCCCACATCTGTGCAATTCCTGAAGATCACTCAAATTCATGATATTCTCCTTCTCCTTGCCATTAATCCCTCCACTAATACTGCTTTGCGTACAAGACAGCCCCCATCACCGGTCTCTTTCATGGCGGTACATTTGTTTACCCACACGTTTTTCTGTCAAAAGTTTGGGCCACCTCTTCTTCATATAATTCGTGTCTTCCTTAAGCACATGAATATTATGCACACCTCTGTTGCTCATCCCGCTGCTCTCTGATCATCTCACAGGTAAATTTGCTTGATTTTTTCGTTTGTCTTGTTTGGTCCCAATTTGGTCCCAGTCTATTCGATGTGAAGAGACGAACAAAACAAAATTCATTATAATTTGAGGTGCATATGCCATGCATTAGTCCACGAGAAATTTTGTGCCTCTGCTATAAGAACCATGCGTGACTTGATGAAGTTGTGACCAGGCTTTTGAATCTAATCTTAATGGCGGCTACTGTCAATAATGGCGCCACCCTTGAACTCAGCGTAGAGAAACAAGAAGCTATTCTGGTTCCCCCCGCTGAGGAGACTGAGAAGGGCCTCTACTACCTCTCAAACCTCGACCAGAACATTGCGGTGATTGTCCGCACCATCTACTGCTTCAAGTCCGATTCAAAAGGCAACGAGGAAGCTTTTGATGTCATCAAGAATGGTCTCTCCGAGGTTCTTGTTCACTACTATCCGCTTTCGGGGAGGCTGACTATCAGCCCCGAAGGGAAGCTCATAGTGAATTGCACGGGGGAGGGTGCTGTTTTGGTTGAGGCCAAAGCTAACTGTACCATTGAGGAGATTGGAGACATTACCAAACCTGATCCAGTGACTCTTGGAAAGCTGGTTTACGACATTCCTGGTGCCAGTAACATCCTCGAGATACCTCCCTTAGTGGCTCAGGTTGGATAATAATTTCTTTAGTGGATGTCCGTCCATTATTCATGTGTCTGGCATTTTTTACCTAGGTGAAGCTTAGTTAGTTGATGTTTTTTTGCTGCATCTTAGCTACTTTTGTGTTGTTCCCTCCCCTCGGATTGGAGAGTTAAATCCACCTTTGGAACTCATATGGACTCTACTCTTTGTTATGCAGGTGACACGATTCAAGTGTGGAGGGTTTGTTTTGGGGCTATGCATGAACCACTGTATGTTTGATGGGATTGCTGCGATGGAATTTGTGAATTCCTGGGGTGAAACTGCCAGGGGATTGACTCTAAAAGTCCCTCCTTTCCTGGACAGAACCATACTCAAAGCCCAAAATCCTCCTAAGGTAGAGTTTGCACATCACGAATTTGACCAGATTGAAGATGTCTCAAACACTGGCAAACTATACGAAGATGAGGTAATGCACTACAGATCATTCTGTTTCGGTCCTGAAAAGCTCGAACAACTCAAGAAGAAAGCCATGGAAGATGGAGCCCTGGATAGATGCACGACTTTTGAAGCCTTGTCGGCATTTGTGTGGAGAGCCCGGACGAAAGCATTAAAAATGGAGCCTGACCAACAAACGAAGCTCCTCTTTGCAGTTGATGGACGGTCTCGCTTTGAGCCTCCGCTGCCTGAGGGTTACTTTGGTAATGGTATAGTGTTAACAAACTCTCTGTGCAGTGCCGGCAATCTCCTGGAGAGCCCCCTGTCTTTTGCGGTGAGGAAGGTCCACTATGCAATTGAAATGGTCACGGACAGCTACATGAGGTCAGCAATAGACTACTTTGAAACAACAAGAGCAAGACCATCCCTAGCAGCCACACTTCTCATCACAACTTGGTCTAGGCTGTCCTTCCACACCACTGACTTTGGATGGGGAGAGCCTGTTCTGTCTGGCCCAGTGGCTTTGCCTGAGAAGGAAGTCATTCTTTTCCTATCTCATGGTAAAGAAAGGAAAAGCATAAATGTGCTACTTGGGTTGCCAGAGTCAGCCATGAACATCTTCGAACAGCTGATGAACTTCTGAAAGTGATTTTTCCTGTCTTACCCTGCCCTGCTCGATAATTTATGTTAAATTATGTCATTTGTTGTGTAGAGAAAGATTATGGTTTAAGGCTCTACATGGTATCCTTGTGCTGGTGCTTAGTAGTCAGCACCAACTAAGTTAAAGGTGAAGATGAAGCTACTCTGTAAAAGGAAGCGCAACCACATGCCTCTTGTAGCCCATCCCAGTATTATCATTCTTAATAATCACCGCAAGTCCTTGTATTTCGATAAATACAGGCTGGCAAAGTCCATGCCACAGCTCTTGATTGATATAGTTCTGAATCAAAATTGAACTCTGATGCAATATAGCTAGCCATGATCAAGTGGCCAAAGTTTGCCACCATAATTAGTGCTCTTGTTGTCTCGGGCAGATATTATGCACATCATGCAGCAAAATTTGAAGGACCTTGCTTGCTTGGTTCATTCTTCACTCTCATTCTGACTAGACATGTTATTATGACCAATTGGTAAAGACCGGCTTATTCTAACTTTTAAGGCAACTCTTTGCATGACTGAATGGGCAATAAGAAGGAACTTTTTTACCAAGAAACACGAAGCCTTACTCGGAAAGGAGTCCTTTTCTATGTGAACTACTGTCAAAATCTGAATCTATGACCATTGTAATGCATGAAACTGTGCGCCGAAGGTGAGGTAGATGATTTCTTTTTGTCAATATCACACGCTCAAAGTCCTTGGATGAATTAATGGGATTCGATCAATTGATAGTTGGAGCACATAACAACCACTTATCTCACCCTCTCGCAGTAGTTACGTGGCCGCCTAGTCAATATTTAAATGTTAATGACAATGTGATGTCTACTACATGGACTGCGAACCGTTACGTAATATCCGATGCTAGATTTTGCAGTATTTTCTTCCATAGTATCTTGACGTGACATGAGCGTGAAAGCGATTCAAGAATCAGTTTTGATAGATCTTGACGTGACATGAGTGTGAAAGGGATTCAAGAATTAGTTTTGGTAGATTTTGTAGTATTTTCTTCCACACTATCTCCACGTGACATGAGCGTGAAAGGGGTTCAAGAATCAATTTTGATACACGAAGCGAACTTCCACAGGGCCAGAGTAATGAAGATGACTTTGACATCTTAGTCTCTCCTGGTGTTGCGGAAGTCAAGCGATCAAACAATAAAATTGACAGAATAAGAAAAATAAATCGAATACCAGATTTACGTGATTCGGTCGTAGTAACCTATGTCCAAGGGGAGAACAGCACGCAATTCCATTATAGATTAAGCGATACAACGGAGATTGCAACCATACTCGAGTCACTCAAACATTCTAAGTGTTTTCCAAACCCCGATTACACCCAATAACTCACGTAGTATTTGGCCCCACAATTCTTCACGAAATAATCTCTCAATCCCGCGTAAGAATTATACATAAATTTTACCATAAGATTTACTCGGCTACAACACACTCGGATATCTTCATGGTGTAATTCACAAGTAGAAGCTCCTTTTTGATGATCTTCACGAATAACATTCCCTTCTTATTTATAGGCAAGAATTAGATTCAAATTAGGAAACCTCTTTTAGAGAACCTTCTCCAATTAGGAAACCCTTTCCAACTAGGAAACCATTCAATTAGGAAACCTATTCAAAATAGGAAACCAACTTGTATTAGGAAACTTTCCTTTTCGGACTCAAAATCGAGACATAATTTAACAATCTCCACCTTGGTTCGACGTTTGAGCCAAGTCACAATCACTTTGTAAAAATTTGAACTTCACTGCTACTACTCTCCCACAGCCCCAATGGGTTCGATCGCCACAGATATTTTTCAAGTCCAAGCCTCGCTTGAACTTCGCTATAATCGTGGACCTCAGTAGGACACTAACTCCATCTGCACCTTTAACTACTCCATAAGGATTTTTTGACACAATCTCCTTTCCCATAGATAAAACAAAACTATCGTTGTATCCATATCCATTAGGAGATCAAACATGTACCTTGTCAATATCAGCAGTTACAGCAACTGTTGCTCTAGAGGCTTTACCTCGCTAATTGCACCATCTATGTCAATTACCCCGCTAGTATCCGCTACCTTAGGAGTTTCTGATTGCAACTCCACCTCAAGCTGAACACCATTCGGATTCGTATGAACGTTGCTATTAATGCTCCTACCCAGAAGTACTGGAGACTCGTTAAATATAACTTCTCTACTGATAACATATGAATTTAATTTCGGGCACCACAACTGATAGATCCGCTCACCTTGTGCATAACTTAGGAACATGCACTTTCTTGCCCTCTCATTGAGCTTACCATCACTAACAAAAACATAACATGAACAACCAAATATTGTAAAAATAGAATAATCAGCAATGTTACCTAACCACACTTTTTCGGGAGTCTGACATCCAATCGCAGTCGATGGGGATCTATTTTTCAGGTAGCTCACCATACTGAGCGCATTCGTCAATTTCCTAGCCATACCAACACTAGAGAGCATTTTATGGGCTGTCTCTAGGAATGTTTTGCTCATCAATTCCGCAACATATTGTGGTTCACTAGCACTAGTGCGGTGTCTCACTATGCCTCCCTTCATGCAGAATTCGTTTAACAACTTCGAGCAAAACTTCATACTATTGTTAATCCGCACATGCTTGATCCTTTTACCAGTTTCCTTTTCGATCAAAGCTCTCAATTGCCTGATCCTGACAACAACATCAAACTTGTGCTTAAGCACAAATACCCATGTCTTCCTCGAGTAGTCATCCACAACTATTAGCATAAATCTAGCACTCTTCCTTGAAGAAAACCGCGACAACCTCAATACATTCAATTCGTCAGCAACATAACCACATAGTAAATTCTTTTCACTTAGAACCTTCAGGCTTTTCTGTGACGCCCCAGAACGTCACGCACGACACGAGTCTTTTATTATTACTAATCTTTATTAATAATTTGGCCAGCGGAAGTCAAAGTTTGAACAAGTTTTAAACATGAATATCACACAAGTTTAGTCAAAATACTTTTGCTTCTTATTAACAGCACTTGTCAGATTTACAAGCCCAGACAAAACATCATATAAGTACAAAAACAAAATTCTGGGTAAGTCGAGGTTGCTTATATCCATACTAGACTATACTCCAAAAGTCTGTTTGAACAAAAGTCTGATGACGTCATGGATCGATGATTTCACCCTCCGTTGCGGAACCACCATCATCTACGTCGAAGCCCCTCAACGGGCCAACTAACTCGCCATCAAGGTTAAAGTACCATGTAACAAAAAGATAAGGAACCCATTCTGCCAAACCCACGTTGACCTAGACAATGGAGCTACATTTAATATATACTCTTTAGACTTAGGCACAAACATATTTTCATAGATAGCTTCATGATATATGGGAACTTCAAAACGCAGAGATTGTGGAACATCCATCCTACATGTCTGAAAAATAAAGGAATGAGCCGAGGCCCAGTAAATGAAATCTCTAGTTTTAAGTTAGGAAAATCAGCTTACCACTTTACCTGGTACAAACAACATACATGCATAACAAACAGTATGTATAGAACTTGAATAAATGTTATGCCTTTTTCCATCTGGATATGCCACAAAATCTGAGCAATTCAACATTTCACAATAATTTTATTTAGACACAAGCATATGATATAAAACATTCGTGCTCATGCGTTAGGTTTATTACTTCTTTCTCCTGAACACTCCCGGGGCATCCCGACCAACGGGGCATCCCGACACACGGGGCATCGCCACCGTTGAATTCTATGGGTGGCGGAATTTTATATTATTCTCATGCAAGCCATGACAACCAAGCATTTGCATGCATATACTCACCTTTTGTATATCACATGTTCTTTAAAACAATGAAATGCATCATTCAAGCAAATAAGTATGAAGCAATACGGGTTCAGACTCAAAAGGTTAAAGTTTACTTAAGTTCAGAAAGTATACATATCCAAATTTTGAGATAAAACTTCCTCGATTTAGAAAATACCTTTATTCAAACTTTGAAAGTAAAGTTTACTCAAGTTCAAAATGCATATGTCCAGGCTTTGAAAATAAAGTATACTCGGATTCAAAATACATATGTCCAGACTTTAGAAATAAAGTCTACTCGGGTTCAAAATACATATGTCCAGACTTTGAAAATAGAGTCTACCCGAGTTCAAAATACATATGTCCAAACTTTGAAAATAAAGTCTACTCAGACTCAAAATACATATGTTCAGACTTTGAAAATAAAGTCTACTCGGGTTCAAAATACATGGAAATAAAGTCTACTCTGATTCAAAATACATATGTCCAGACTTTGGAAATAAAGTCTACTCGGGTTCAAAATACATATATCCAGACTTTGGAAATAAAGTCTACTCGGGGTAAAAAATATATATGTCCAGACTTTGAAAATAAAGTCTACTCAGGTTCAAAATACATAAGTCCAGACTTTGGAAATAAAGTCTACTCAGGTTCAAAATACATATGTCGAGACTTTGAAAATAAGTCTACTAGGGTTCAAAATACATATGTCCAGACTTTGAAAATAAAGTCTACTTGAGTTCAAAAACACATATGTCCAGACTTTGAAAATAAAATCTACTCGAGTTCAAAATACATATGTCTAGACTTTGAAAATAAAGTATGTGCAGTTTTAAAAGTAGACATGTCCAGATTCTGACCGTAAAGTCTATGCAGTTTTAAAAGTAGACATGTCCAAATTCTGACCGTAAAGTCTATGCAGTTTTAAAAATAGATAGAACCAGAATTTTAGGCTAAAAATCTGGTCAGTTCAGAAGTAAACAGAATCAGAATTTAAGTTTAGAATCTGTTCAGCTCATAAGTAAACAAAATCAAAATTCGAGTTTAAAATATGTTCAGCTTAGAAGTAAATAGAATCAGAATTTGAGTTTAAAATCTGTTCATTTCATAAGTAAACAAAATCATTATTTACACTCACCTAATATACTCCACTTTGAGTAAAACGATTTTCTACCCTTTTTAAACATACATACAACTAGCAAGACAATTTCCACAATCACCTCAAAGATGACATTTACACGTTCGGTTTTAACCATTGTACTTGCCGGTTTTCAACACACTTTAAGGAAACAAAACACATCCATTTGAACATGCTCGAGACCAACCAAGCAATTGCATAGATCATCACGTTCTCAATATTGTAACACCTCAAATAAGCATATCACAACCATCCAAGTTAAAAGTGACAAGTAGATTCTTCTAACTTAAT